AATGACATCTTGGATCGTTCTTGAACCCACCTGAGAATTCCTCCAAGCATTTAATAACACCCTTGTGTTCTCATCTCTTCCTAGAACTCCCAACACATGGAAATTTGTCAGTATTCCGCTAAGCATAGCACGGTGTTCACAAAAGCGTGGGTCAGACTTCAGATTGCACAGATCTCTCTCTTGTGCCCGGACCACTGTTCTTGTTCAGGGTTCCTTCCATTACAGCCTTTCCAGGAGATTGATTTCCAAGCAACTTCACCAATTTGTTGCCCAGCGCAGGACATTCTTAGCATGTAACATTGATTCTGGCACAACTGCACTAGCTACCAAATTGTTGGCTGGCTCAATTCAATGTGTTGGTTCAAAGAGCCTTATGTGGCTCAGGACCCAAGAACCACTTCTCCCCACATGAACCAACCTAGACCCTGTGATCGTCGTCTGAGGCCCTTCTTCATCTGCCACCCTTCCATGGGAGGTTTGGGGGGTAGTAACATAAGACCTTGCCTTTTTGGTGCTGACAACCCACTTGTGGGGTGTTCTCCCCAGGGAAGCAGTCTTTATTTTTAGGCACCAGGCAGAAAACCTTTGGCTCTACCCAAGCGTTTGGCCCTTAATTTGAAGAATAGTATTGTGGCTTCTTTTAGTGTGATGGGATCAGTAAGCCCTGATCTGTTTTAACCGTTCAGCTGCTTCTACTGGAGATGCGTAATACTGCATCTCCTGAAAAAGAGAGACCCAGAACGGTCTGTTTGCGGGCAGGGGTATAATATTGGTCCCGTCCCTGGTTTTGAGCTGTTCAGCAGCTGATAAATCTATACAAGGTAAAGCACATTTAAGCTACCCTACACCCAACATGTGGGCTTAAGAACAGCCTCTGGCAGGGAAGGGCTTAACCAGCCTAGTTCTACACCTGGTTAGCTTTTTCTTCCAGAAGTGGAACAAAGATCTCCCACCCTTTTCTGCCTTATATTGTACCACCAGGTAATGAGGAAGTTTCCTAACTTTTCAGAAGATGTCCTGTAGATGGATTGCTTCCCTGTTGCCAGGGCAGTAGGACTACGCAGTTCATCCTGTCACTCCCTCGCTAGCTCTGAGGAAAGGCACAGCTTCTTGTGGGTCATCTGTGTATTCCTGTCCCACAGGGGCAATTTTGTTTTGCCGCCCAAGGTGGCGGGTAGGTGGATGAGTTGGGGAAGCCGTCTGCGTTGTCTTCACATGGGGAATGGGGGCACAATCCTAGGCACAAGGCTAACGCAAGCCTTGGCTTGCAAGATCCTGGAGTATTTGGTTTGAGAGCTTTTTGCCAGATGTGGTTAGCAGCTCCAGCCCAGACAGATAAATGATTTTTTGCCTAGCATAAGCTCCTAAAATGCTAAAATTGTTCTTTAAATAACCTCCAAATGTACCGCTGTCCTATTTTAATTAAACCTTTGCTTCCTCTCCCCCCCTGTGTCAGCTGAGGAAGGCAACAAAACATTCAAGATACTTTCTAATTACTACACCTAATTGCAAAAAGAAGTACACCACTAATGTGCTGATTTGAAATATAATTAAAAACAGTAATTAGTGTTCAACAGAGAGGCTTCTTGAAGGTTTAGCTCCCACTGGAAATTTCAGTTACAAAGTTGCTTTCGGGTAAATCTTCCAGCCAAAGCCATCATGCTTTCAGGCTAAGCAAAGGCTTCCTCTCCAGTGTGAGTAAGAGTGGGTTATGGTGTTACATTAGTCTAGTGTGCAATTCATAATTCTATCCAGTATGAGCTACAATACACAAACCTATTGTACAACATTTCATTTAATATTCCTGGCTCTAATTCATTACAGTCTTCCTGTCTTTTCTCCAGGACTACAGGCAAATTCTGATTTGTAATATTTTTGCATCTCATCTCTTTGGCAATTGGAAGCTTCTTTAGCATTGTACTTCCTACTTCTCTATTTTAAGGAAGGAGAGAATAGAATCATATTAATCACCTCTACAGGAAAAGTGCTGTTGAAATTTCATTCCAGTTTCTTTGTGAAGAAATCAGTGCTCATCTACTGCTCAAATTCAAATAAAGATCAATGCAGAGCCAGTTTTTACATAGCAGTGGCCTGTTTGGAGTTTTACTCTCCCATCTCATGTCCTTCCAATAATCCTAGCACAGGGAAATTTGCATGGGAGATACTTACAGTGCCTTGGATCACAAGATAAGTTTACATACAGAGTGCACTTGCAATCCTTTGCCTAAAGCCTTTCAGGGAGGAGACAAGAGGCCTCAAACAATCTAGGGTGGGGTGCAGGGGCTACTATCAAGAAGAGACAGAAACCTTCCTTCAGTGGGCTCCCTTAAATTAGATCTTAGGATCCAAACCCAATACAGGGCCATTCTACATGGTTCCTAAGGCGCCCCTTAACCCTACAGAGAGACTTTGCGGGAGCACAGTGTGCTGCTTGGGGAAGGATGGAATGGGCATCTTTACTTCTGTGAACTTCCTTAAGTTGACTTAGCCACAATGACTTGGATTCTAAGATATTTTTCATGCCAGTTTGCCTTATATCAATGATTATTTCAGTTGTCCAGTTTAGTTTGCAAAGCTGCTCACCCGCATTCAATCCCCAGCCAAAGGCAGATGCTGAAAAATAGGAGGTTGCCATGAGAGTAAAATTATCTATGCTGCAATCGGTAGCTTTCAGCCAAGTGGTCTCCCTTCCTGCTTCATTCACCTCGTGTCCCCTGTAAATCAGGCAGACATGTCCAAAAAATGGGCAGAAGAAGACTATTAGATGCATCACATCAGCTGCTTCAGTCAGCCTTCTGTTCCACAAGCTATGAAGCCACTAATGGAGGGATACTCATGGGACATGGCCTTTGCCATCAGAGTTATGAATGCTAGGTGGTTCCATGAACCTTTATGAATCCAGAAAAAGTAGCAGTTTTGTCTATAGCCAGAAGTATTATGTGGCATATTTGCAAACAACTCCGAAACCATTCCGAGTAAAAAGGCATCTGCTGGGGGGGGGGGGACTGCTTTACTACCTCTTTTGGAAGGCCTTGATCTCTTAGCCACTTCTTCCTAAGGCTGCAGGTCATGAGTTGTGGGTGATGGCAGGATTGAGACATTATGCGCCACAATTGCCACTGTGCCTGCAAAAGATGTCCCCCCTTTGCCTAGAAAATTTTTCACACCCTGAAATGTCTTACCTGCAATTTGTCTTTTTATAAGGGTGAGCCTTAAAAAAATGTGTTAATGGTCTGGTAAAATAATTCCATTTTTTAGATTGCTCAAAAGTCAGGAAATGTCAGAGTCAAGGTTGGTCTCATGTTTCCTCTGAAAGGTTACGATTTAAATTTAATATCCTGCATCTCTTCCATCCTCCTCCTCTTTCGTTTCAGCAAGCTATGTTTTCCTGGCTACCTGTAAAGTAATTTTGCTGTAATATCTATAGTTAATAGCAGAGGTGCCATAGTGTTCTCCAAGATTGAGCTCTGTTAGTTGGTTTTTTTCATGTTCCAAGATTCAGACTTTTATCCCATTCCTTTCTAGTAATAAATCAAGATCCAAGTAATCATTCCTTACTAACTACTGTCAAAACTGTGACCTGACATACATTTTAAGAAACTGAAATAGTGGTTCTTAGGCATGTCGATAGAATGTGGAATATCAATCTTCAGCAGAGTTTTCTCTGCTTTGCCAACTTCGTTTTCCATTTGGCTTTAAAACTCTTTGCTTCTGCAATTCTGAAACACACCACTCATCAAATGTTCTGTTAGCCACTTAAAAGTAACCTGTGTTTTTTCTGTCCTTTCCTCTCTAGCTTCCACCTGTGAGTTTTCTGACATTGTGAAACTGCTCCTGGAGTCTGGAGCTGACCCTACTCTTCGGGACACAGAGGGCTACTTGCCTGAGGAGGTCACGGACTGTAAAGTGATCACCTCCATGCTGCAGGAGCACACGGCTGGCAAAGCTTGATCGAAAGGCCAAGGAAGTGCAGGTAGCCCCAGCCCAGGGCTCTCAAAATGGACGAAAAACTGCAATAAAATCATCCTATGTCCACATAATCAATATGCATGATGTATGGAGACTGGAATCTGCGGAGCAAAGAAGCTTATTTCTGGGAGCAGAAAACAGAGCAATGCAATATTGCACTGAACAGCACAGGCCTGCGTATCTGTGTTGCCTGCCTGGCACAACACAGCCCCAGCCATAGGTTGTGACCTGTCATTTGCTTGACGGACCCCTGTTTTTGTAGCCCCAAATTAAAAAAGAACAGATCTACTCTGCTTCTGGTGGCCGCCAAGCATGGCTGATGGGATCTTTCCTCTTTGATAGGTCACAAGCGTTGTACGCTTTGTGCAGCCCAAGGCTCAGTTTGCATGAAGCAGAGTTTCATCATGAATCTTGAGGTTAACTTAAGGGAGCAACTATATTATGAATGCAATCCTGTATGTGCCCACTCAGGAGCAAGCCTCCTCTGTGGGATTTGTTTTCCCAAGTAAATATGGACAGGATTGAATTGCAAGACTATCTGCTCTTTTCCAAAATGCAAGTTACTAGTAAGAAGGGAAAGTCTAGCTGATGGGCAAGGGGTGGGGAGAAATGAGCATCTTTACAAAGCTGATCTTCCCATGACAGATTTCACTTTTTAGTCCTGTATCACTACTGCTACTTCCTTGAATTGGGTAATGGAAGCAATGGAGTTATCTAAGATGTGAGAATTGAGGGTTTTCCTATTGGCTCCTGAAGATCAAAAAGGCAAAACATGGAGACTGAGCTACTGCTATGAGACTGAGAACTGATGGGAGTGTCCTTTGTGTGTGTCCCTCTGTCTCTGTAAAATACTGTCTTGCACGATAAAAGATGTCAAAGAATTGTTTCTGAATTGCTCTTTTTCTTCCTTTCACGTGAAATCAATTGCACAAACAGCAGCATGACTTTGTGTTGAACATTCTGGAATGTTACTTTGGATGTTTTTAATTGTTCTGTCGTGATCACCTCATGTTCTAGAGTTACTGAAAGAGAACTGACGGAGCTATTTAAAAAAACTGTGAAGACTAAAGCATCTTTGAAAGGCAGTATGAAATCAAATATTAAATGACTGTGAATCCAGAAAGAGAGGAAGAAAAGTATTACTGATTTGCAGCAATGCAGTTTATAGTACTTGCATTGCTAGAACAGTTTGAGGAGTTGATATGGTAGAAACTTCTCTGCCGAAAGAAAATCAGAAGAGAGGAAAGCTTTTCTCTGGCATGCAAAGTGAGTAAGTATGCTGGTAACTTTGTAGTATCCACCAGTGTCCACTGGCTGACTGAATATGCACAAGAAATAAATAACATTGCAAGAATTTCATCCTTTAGGACTGATAGGAGTGTTCAGCTATGCCCTTATTCTCTGTCACTGTACAAGTAAGTTACAGGTCCATTGTACTTCTTCACTGCTGCAGTGTCTACACTGAAAATATTTTAGTATTTGTGTAGATGCTACCGGAAATGGTTGATGTAGACGAGGTTGAAAAGCTTTAAAGAGCATAAATCAGAGAAGATGAAATGTATAGATAATGTAGTATATAGTATACATATATAATAATGTATATGTAATATAGTGGTGGACACCTATATTATTCCTAATTTCATCTTTCATAGTGGAATGGTAGTGGCTCTGTCTTTGTGCCTGCCTCTTGCCATTGCTCAAGTTACCTTTGCCTGTTGCTGCCTGTCCGAAGATGACTGGGCAAGCTCATTTTCCATCTTGTTTGCTAAGGGGTTTCCTCCCCACTCGGCACCCACCCGTGGTGTGCATTTTAAACCACATTTTTATTATTACTTTGCAAGGTTGTACAGTTGTCTGAAAAACATACACAAATAAGAGTGATGGACACATAACAATCTGTCAGAACAGACTAGGCTTTTCTCAGAACAGGGCATGTTTATCACCTATATTTGCATACAGCCATCTTTATGGCAGACAAACTCTTAGTTGAATTCACAGTCCCATGTTAAATCTCTTCTCCCACACCAAAAAAATGTTTGGGCTGTTCTTCATCCCATGGAGACTAGATCCAAAGATATGTTTGCTGGAATCATTGTGCAGCTAAGGTATTGTGACAGCTACATTTTGGTGCATGGAGAAGGGCATGAAAAGTATGGTCACTGCTGCACGGTTGGCAACTACTCCCTCTCTCTGCCAAATTCGTGAAATCAGTCATCAGTTTTGGAATTGTGCTGTGGAGAAGCTGGCAAACACTGAAGAGCATAACAATCACCTTTCTGTGGTCCCTTGGCACCACAGAAGCAGCCACTTTGCCCAGTAGCTAGGATTTATTTATTCTTTCGTGCTGAAGGTTATCCTTTCTGGCATTTTAATATTTTCAAGGGAAGTTCTCTCTGATGGACATCTTGTGTACTAAAAAGCTCTCTCAAAATAACACATGCTTGCTGCGTGCCCAGATGCAAAGTGGCAAGCTGCAGCGCCCACACCTTTCATAAAGTACATTTGCAGAGCTCAGAGCTTAGGCCTGAATATGTTTATAGCACTTTAGGACTGTTTGTGAAGTTGGAGCCCTTCCAAAAAAGAAGAAAAAAATCGAGAAGGCATATATTATTGTTTATAATCTGCTTTATTCAGCCAAACCTTTTCCCAAACAGCCCCCTGGATTGCTGTTTAAATCCTCTGGTGCCTTTAACTACTGATACTGAAAATGGTTAATGCATATTCAAACTAAGCCTGGCATCTACTCCAGGAAATCACTTTAATTGAGAAGCATTAAATGTTAAAATGATTAAAATACATAAAGCCAACATGGTGTATATGAAGAGCCCAGATCCGCAGCTTCAGAGTGTTCCTTGGCCCAGTATCTCTGAAGTATGAGCTTCAAAGGCTGATACAGTTTAGAATTCCCTGAAAAGAAAATTGGTCCGTTTTCTTGACTCACAGAACTGGATATCTAGCAAGTAGCTCTCTAACTAGAATGGAAGCAAACACTTTGAGAGTCACCGGGGAAGGTTTGATGACTTGATGCTTAATTCTGCTTCTGTAGGATTATGTGTCTTTGTTGTGTGTGTGTGTGTGTGTGTGAGAGAGAGAGAGAGAGAGAGAGAGAGAGAGAAAGAGAGAGAGAGAGGGGTCCCCACCCTGTATGAGTTCAGGGTGGGAGAAAACTTGTACTCTGATTCTCTGAAGATTCCGTGGCCAGATCACATACTGCCAAGAGCACAAGTGATGAACAAAAAATGTGGGAAGAAATTCCACATTAGAGCCCAAATAAAATTTAGTAATAGTGACAGCTGTGGTAAAATGTGTGAGGATCATCACCACCAACAACAAAACAAAACCGCCCGCCTCTGAGAATAGAAAAGCATCATGCTTCTCTTTTTTTAAAATGGTTGTATAGACTGGTATGATTCAGCCAGTTGCTGCATGGTGATAACTGTATCTCTGGTGATAAACCTGAACCTATGTACCTTGGGCATCTGAAAATAAGTATCTGATCTCTGCCAACCCTCATAATGTAATAGATTTTATCACTTATCTGTGTTTCAACACGAGGAAGTCTTGATTGAAATTAAACACAGAAGCTAATTAGTCAGTTGATTAGTCTGTTGAAAGTCAGCTGGCCCCATTAAGCTAGCTAGCTCCAGATTGTGTTTTCTGAGATTGGAACCAAATATATGTCCTTGTAGAGGATGTGAAAGTGGGTGTTTGGGGGAATAAATAATCTGTAGAACAGGGATGATGAATCTGTGGCCCTCTAAATGTTCAAAGAATCATAGAATTGCAAAGTTGGAAGGGTCATCTAGTGCAATGCAGGAATCTCAGCTAAAGCTTCCATGACAGGGGGTTGGACTCGATGGCCCTTGTGGTCTCTTCCAACTCTATGATTCTATGATTCTATGACAGGTGGCCATCCAACCTCTGCTTAAAAACCTCTAAGGAAGGAGAGCACACAGCCTCTTGAGGGAAACCATTCCACTGTCTAACAGCTCTTACTTCTGCGTCCTTTGGAGGATGGAAGTTGTAGTCATAATGCAAATACCTTGGGCTGCTTAACTTCACACTCTTTTCCTTCATCCATGTAAGGCTACAGATCCATCCCTCATTGCATAGCTGTCTGAGTTGTATATGGGCATGATGGGATGGGTGAACACAAACAATTCGCAAGTTCTTGTAACCAGTTGGTAAGCTGGTTATTTATCTATATCATCCTGTAGAAAGAAATAAGAGCTTCACTGTGTCCTAGATTTCTACTAAGATACAGGTTGGCTGCTAGCGGGTCAATTTAAGCCAAGTGCTAAGTGCTGGTCTCTGTCTAAAACCTTTTCAGTTGTGTGGTGAATGTGATATATTTAAAAGATCGTTGGAGAAAGTATGTTGGTGCTGTAAGCAAAGTTGCTCTAATTTAAACTATTGATACAACACAGAAAAAGGCACTTGAATCCTAAAGAACTTTTCATATTTATTTTACATAGAACTTTCTTTTTTTTACATACAACTCATGCCAGCACACATGAGGCATATACGAAGAAACTTGCCAGGTTTTGTTTTGTGTTTTTTTCCAGAGACACATGGCAATAAATAGGTTTCTTTAGACTTCGCTTCAGAACTGTACAAAATGTATAACCGCAGGGAGCTGTCCGTGGTGGGATAGAGCAAACTGGGAGGGAGGTGTAAGGAATGCATCAGCCTTGCTCTTGTCATTTTTCTTGCTTGAAACTGTATTCAAAACCAAAAAGTGGACAGCTTCATTTTTACCGAGTCCAAGTTGCTGAGTTTGTTCTTGGTCTTTTTCCTCCTCTAAGGAGTTCTGTGCTTGCATGTCTACACAGAGAAGCTATTGGATGGAATGCCTGATGAGCTCGTGACACCACCATGCACACAGTCTGTGTGTTCTGCTCTTCAGGTACAAAAGATGCCTTCTTATTCCACAGCACTAGCTAGAAGTCACCCATGTGCTTTAGGAAAGCATTGTGTTTACCAAGCAATGTGAATATGCTAATCCTGACCTCTGCTTTTGCATTATTTGCTTCCTTGTTGCGGTTAGGAGCAAATCCTGTTCGTTGTTTTTTTGTTTCTGTTTTTAAAGACAACAACCAAACCCAAGTGAAATAGACAACATGCCAGTGGTGTGCTTTTTCTTTTTTAGCTTCAGCCATGGCCAAAGCCCTGCAGCAACAGGTCATAACATACAACATGTTCACACTAAACTGTGAATTAGTCCTCTGAGCACTGTTTCCGAGTCCTGAAATGCAGTGCTCTTAACAGGAAGATGGATTTCCTTCCCACAAATATACCAGCCATAGCTGCATTAGAGTGCAGGTGAAAGCTAAAGTCATAGAAGAGGAGTTCTGGTCAAAAACACCGAGACCTTATACAAGGCTGGAATATTGCAAAGGCAGGTAAAATGTTATGCTAAGCTCTTCAGGAATTAAGGAGACATGGATGGCAAAGAACATGCAGTAATCAATTTGCATGATTCTCTCTATATCTGAACAATTTCAGGCAGATGTTCTTAAATCCTCCAGAAAATGTCAAACTTTATTAGACACTTCATGGCAAAGCGTTTATAACTTATGCTTAATCAAGTTAATAAAACTGGGATGCAAACTGATCGTCTAAATAAAAGTTTCAAGAGCAAACATTTCTCCCATTTGATGTTGTCAGATTGATAAATTGTCATACACATGCGATTGTTGCAGAAAAGTAGCTATGTTGATACCTTAGCAGTGGTGTTCTGGGTGTGGCATCAATGTACACAGATGCCCTTTTGCATCCAGTAGAGTTTATAAGTCCATTCTACCCCTCTGACTATTACACTTGAGCTTTGATTGAGTGGGGGCGTATATATAATTTCTATTGAACTTTGAAGGAAAGATGTAATAGAGATAAAGAATCCAGCCAAAGGGCAGAGCACCATCTGCATGCATGCAGATTTTTGTTAATTCAGCCTTGATGCACACAATTCCTTACTGACTTTGCTGGAGTTGGTAACCAGGAATTGAAAATGAAGTACACAGAAGCAAATCAGTATTAATGTTCATCATTCTCACAAACTTGATAGCCTGCCTATTCTTTGCTGCATCAAATTCCTCATTAAAGATTTGATAACACATTGTAAACCAAAATATAGTATACCTGTGCCATATGGAAGCTAAGAATTTTAAAGGGATCTTGGCTGGGCAGCAGTAGGATGCAAAGTTTGTTCCGGGTTTTCTTTGGGGTCTCTCAGTTTGCTACTGTTTCTGTATCATTGCATCTTGAACAAAACATTTGTCAAATTATTTCTAGCACTGTCCTCACACTTGTAATTTTCACTTGTGAATAGTTCATGATGTATTTAAAGGTATCCTCCACAACATACTCCTAAGTTAAATTCTTGTCTCGTACAACATACAGGTTTTTCTGCTGTTCTTCCCAAGCTTATTTTTGCCTCAATGTATGTTTCGTTGTTTGTTTTTGTTCCCAAATGGGCAAAGGCAACCCATCATTACGGATTTATTTTTTGTTTTTAGGCTAAAGGAATTGTGAAGACTGAAGAGGGTGAAATGGTACAAGGGCAGGTGCAATCCTTGACAGTGTAAAGCAGACTTCCTCAACCTTGGCCCTCCAGATGTTTTTGGCCTACAACTCCCATGATCCCTAGCTAGCAGGACCAGTGGCCAGGGATGATGGGAACTGTAGTCTCAAAACATCTGGAGAGCCGAGGTTGAGGAAGCCTGGCGTAAAGCATGAAATAATGCCATATAGGCAATGAGAATGATGGGGGGAAATGGCATTATTGATTTCAGTCAGAGGCTTGCTTTTCACTTAAAGGGAACTATGGCACTTGAGCACATGTGTATCTCTCCCACTGAAACCACAAGGGCTTGAAGGTGCTTACGTTTTGGCATCAGCATGCCATGTGTTACTCATTATTTATAAAAAAAGAGAGAGAAAATGCCCCAACGCCTACAACATTCACACCTACGTGATCTAAACATTGCCACATTTCCTTTTGTCATGGTTCTAACAAAGCCTGATGCATGAATCCCTTGCAAGCACCTTCTAAACATTTCTCTTGTGTTCAGAGTAATTGGCTCCACATACTTGGAACATGTGCAAGCATATACCTGCATGTTGACAGGCTTGAATAGGATGAATGTTTGCAGGGGGGGGGTGAAAGTTAAAATGAACCCCCCCCTTGCAAAAAACCCCTTTTTGTTCCTATTTTAAGTTCTGCAGTCTGTGACTCCAATATGGATAAAACAGCTTGATTTCAGCAGAGTGTGGGGCTGATACTGGAATAATTGCTTTCTCACTTGAACTGAAATAGAAAAGCTATTCAGTAATGAAGCTGAATTAGTCTTGATATTATAAAGGGTCATGGTAACAAATGACATAGAAATAGTTTACAGTTACAGTATCTTAAAGGAAGATACTGAAAATGTCCATATATTGTCAGAAACGTGACTGAGATTGTTTAGCTGTGGCACAGTGGACTTAGGCTTGGTCATTTGTACCTTCAGTCTGATCCTCATTGGGTTGCGTGGTCTTATTGTCTGTTTTTACCACTAATAAATGTATTGGGGGTAAATCAAATACTGACTCAAGGGAAATGTTTCTAAATTTTGATTGAAAGTGAGACAGTGTGCTGGTCAGGAGAAATGTGGAGCTCATTCTACATGGGATCGGTAGTCATCTTTCACATGGTGTACAATGCTTGGCAAAACTGAACACGTTTTTTTAAAAAGCAAGACACACAAGCCCAAATTATTACCAGCTCCATAAAACAGAAAGCAGTTTTCGCTTTCCCCCACAAAATCTTGTAGGGGCAACATTTTCCACATTGGAGGCAGAATTCCAATTAAATGCTTAAAGGGAAAAAAGGAGCAGTCAATATTAATCTGGAGACTTTCAACAGATACATTGTGGGGTCTTTTTCATTAGATTGTTTTGATTATGGAAAGGCAGCTATGGAAGTCAGCAGAAATCCCTTGCCTAATTCAGTTCTGTTTATATTTTTCGCAATAGCATGTTGAAATAAAAACTTTACATATGCACTTTCCCCCTTAACAGCTATAATCTCTCCAAGGGAGAAATGTACATACTTCCACACAGTGAAAGGCAGCATGTATTTGGGTCAAGAAGCTGCTATGTTCCTTTAGCATTTTACTGTGTCTTGTCCCATTCTCGTGTGATTTCAAAATAGGCCCCCAAACCCCACCAGAGCAAGTGAAAGCTTCTTTTTAGGCTTTGACTGTGTGATAGCTCAGTCAGTAGAGCATGAGACTCATAATCTCCAGAGTTGTGGGTTTGAGTCTCACGTTGGCCAAAAAGAATCCTGCATTTCATGGGGTTGGACTAGATGACACTCTACAATTCTATGGGTTGTAGTCATTCCTAATATTTCAGTGGGTCTACTGAGGGTATGACATAGTTGGCTACCGCCCTATTGGTTCAGGGACAGAATATTGAGAGTTTGCACGTGTAAGACTGGTACACTTGTGTGTGTAACCTCATTGGCAATCGTTGTGCTTGAGGTGTTAAAACTGATCTACCTGACTGCTCATTTACAAAAAAGTAATCACATATTGAACACCTATGCATGGGCCAGTTCTCAGCTTCTCGTTACACTCATGTGACCTTGCTCCTTTTACTCAGTGAATATAGTCTGGAAGTTATTGTCTGGAAATGCAAGGAAAGACATAGTTCTTCCCTGAGCCATGTCTGCAAACAGTAACCAATTTATAGAAGACACCGTTAAGAGAAGCATTCTGTGATTCTCAAATAATTGAGAAGGGCTATAAGACTATAGTAGTTCTAAGAGCAATGCAGTACTGAGGTATGTGAGGCAGGCTTGGAATGTGTATGAATCTCTAAGAAAGTTCAAACTGTTCACAGAACTGCTTCAGTGGAAAGTTAAACAACTCTGATCTCAGTCTATGAAACCCTCTTGACACATCTGGTTTCTGGCTAATGTCTTCCACCATATGATTGTCATGTTATTTTTCTTTCTCGGTCTTTTCATAGTCTTCCCACCCTAGAAAGCGGGGGGGGGGGGGGGATCCCAGAGATGGTTGTTGGAGAGCTCCCATTCCTAGCCACTGGCTCTTCTGGCTGGGGCTGATAAACACCATAGGTGGAGGGCCACAGGTTTCCTACCCCTGCTATGAAGCTTTCTTTGGCGGGTGAATTCTGAACAGCTTTAAATCTTCTAAAGGTTTGTCTCCTCGAAAACCGGTAGCAGCATAGCAATGGCAATAAAAATGTGTCATTTAGCATGATGCCATATTATAACATGTACTGAAATAATGAAACATCATAGGACTTTGCACTAGATTATAGGCATTGTCAAATTCTTTGTAATCCAATTTCCTATAAACTAAGACTCCTTTTTTTCATTTCTGATCAGACGAAATATGCCTTGTGCTTGACTTGTATGCAGATTGCAGCCTTGGAGTAGTGGAATTAAAGGCCTACAGCGGACTTTTTGCCCATGCTGGACCCTTGCATGCTCACATAGTTGATGGGGACTACAAGCCCAGTAAAATTGTGCGTTGTGGAGAGATATTTTGTTGTTGTTCTTTTCATGAAAGGGAAAGTGTCCCACGGTAAAAGTTACTGCTCTTGCAGTGGTTATAACCAGTGATCCCAGCAAGTCAAGAAAATAACTGCTGTAATCGCCCCGTGACCCACCTGTGGTGTAGGTTTTTCTAGCCCATGCAAAATCAGTTTTTCCTCTCAGCTCCTCTGCAGCATGTTGTCCAATTGATCACAATGGTACCTCCTCTCCCCTAGCCGAAAACAGGACAGGCCTGTCTTGGTGGCTGGGAAGGGTTTGAAATGTAGCAGATAAAATTGTATCTGCCTTGTTTTGGGTCCTGTGCCTTGCCAGTTGGTACAGAGGCTGGGAAAAGAGAGGAAAAGGCAGCAACATCCCGTGTGATGCTGCAAACTGCAAATGCTTAAAGGCTGCAATGTAGGTAGGAAGTAAAACCACCTGTGGCTGCCCCACCATTTATCCTGCATAAGGCAAAGATATACCGAAACAGCCAAGTAAATGTGAAGCTGCAGGACTGGGGGAGGAAGAAAATACAGAAGGGGCGGGGAAGGGGGGAATTGCAATCTCCCAATAACTTTCCATCCCTTCAGCAGTCAAGTCTGGATTTAGCAATATTGCATTTCCATTGGTTGGCTAGAGGTGAGCAAATGAGGACAGTGGCCGTGCCACATGAGAGCTGATGTGGAGCTGCCAAAGGCCAAAATGTTTAGTCATTTCAACATGTGCTAGTGTTGCACTCAACAGCAGAGCTCTATGGAAAGAGTCAATAAACTCTTATTTACTACAGCTGGCACCCCTAAAGTCATACAAATACTATACACACCAATGTGCTCTGTTCAGGAGCAGTGCCTCCTATGTCCCACTCTTTCAGACAGAAAGCAAATATATATCTTAATACCATGTTTTCTTTCAGCTCTACAGGAAACAAATAGTGGATTCCCATTCTAAAATAATGGAAATGTTCTCGGAATGGCACGCCTGTGATCCTTGAAGTCTGATTGCCGTCCCTCAGTGGGTGTTTGTTTGTTTATAGTATGCTTTCAGGCCCCAGAGAGCAAGTGGGGATATGGCAAAATTGACGGGAGCGCGAAATTTTAAAAAGGAGGATGATCCATTTCATCAAGCCAAGAGGCAGGGCTTGTTGGAAAGTCTGGATAACCAACGCTGCTTCCAGTAGAAATATCAGAGGTTGGGCCTCCAGCCATAGCTCTGAGTGTCTGACTCACCCCCTGCCCTCCATGTGCCATTATTCCTAAATTATTGTCCATTGTGTAATCCAGGCCATTTAGCAACGGAGTGTGTGATGGAAGGGATGATATGGAAGCGGGAGACTGTGGGATTCCGTAGGGGCTTCCATCCCTCAAGTCCTGATACGATTGTCCAGTCCCATCCATTGAGAAAGTACCGTTCATTAGCTGTCCACTAGCCACCTCACCAGCATTGTTATAAATTCTGTTGTTGTGGCCAAGCTCCGAGAGGATTTGGTCTTCTGTAAACAAAGCAAGGAAAACAGCATTTTAAGTGCAGCAGAAATAATAAGGGTCACTGCATACATTTGCCATGAAAAGGAAGAACGAACACTGGTAATCTATCCAATTGCAGTCCTATCCAAGACAGCCAACCGTTCTTAAGTCCATTGATGCCCATGGATTTAAGCTAGCCTTGTATCTAACCACCTGTCTGGTAGCTGTAGGCGACAGAGAATTGTAAAAAAGTTACTAGCCTGGCAGGGAAGGGGCATAGAAACCCACCGGCATGGCAGAACTGTCTCCTCTTCAGCACCTAGCAGACTAGTAAATGTTGCCACAGGCTACTAACTTTTGTGACCTTATTTTTAGGGCTTATTCAAGCACACTTCTGCCGCATCATGGCTTAAGTATATTTTCCATCGCTGAAACAGGATCAACCCCATTCCAGCTGGCTGTAGACCTACATTAACTGATTTCCCTTTCTTCTTCTTGTGGCAGTTATGAAGTTCTGCCAATCCAAAGACTGAGAAGCTTCATACATGCTCCAGTGCCCACCTCTGGAAAAGACTAACCAAAGCGGTGCAGGTGATGAAAGACTGACATGTTTTAAATGCTCTGACAAACAGTAGTTCTGAAATTCTCAGAGATATTTACATTGCAAAATTCATCAGTGTCATTGAAAGGTCTATACTGGCATCAAAAGCCAAACTGTAACAGAAAAGCCCTATTGTACCTGTGTGGGAAATGGTGGTTGTTGTTTTTTAAAAAATACATTTACTATTTTGACTTATTTTTAAACCACCATTTCTTTCTCACATCTCATTATTATTTGACTACTTGGTTAATCACTCATCAACTTATTTCTGTCACTTGCTGAGTCAACACATATCTTTGTGTATTTAAGGGCATTAGTCAGCCAAACATAAAGTGCTTAAGTCCAGTTTGTTTCAGTGGCAGAGTTAAGCCTAGGCTAAACACACACACACCCCGACATTGTCATCAGTGGGACTTACAGGGGCTTCGTTTTTCAGCTGGTGCTTGTTTCTAAGTTTCTACCTTTTCATCAGCCACAACTGAACAGACCCATCTTGTGGCATCACTGTTTTAATGAAGGTGCACAGCACCACATAAAAAATGCACACAGAACACCACACAAAACTTTCAGTGGTATCTATCGTTTCACAAGCAGACTTATGGGAAATGCACACTTCCAGATCTGTTCCAAAGGGTCCCCAACCCTCTGGAGGAGATTTGCGGGGAGGGAGAGGAAGGTGAAGTCCCATTAATGCCAGCTGAAGGCGCACACAGAGACACCTTTCTACACATTTAAAAGGAAGGAAGAATTCCAAACCTTAAAACAGGGAGAAGGTTTAATTAAATTGGATCTGGCTTTTAGTAAAGGCAATCAAGTTTATATGGAGTTGCACATCTGTGAATATCTCTTTACTCTGCCAGATTTTATACAGCAAAGTTCAATTTGTGTGTACCAAGAAATAAGTCCCATTCAATTCATTGTGGTTTACTCCCAGGTAACAGTATAAGATTTCAGTCTTCAAATGCTTTCGGGCAAGGTTCCAGATTCTCATGGCAATGCACAAAGCAACTTGGGTCCCTGATATCTTCAGGACTCTTATATCCTGGCCCAATCACTGAGATCATCTGGAAAAGCGCTGCTTGTTACGTTTAAGAGACCTGAGGTATTTAGTCAGTCTCATGCTGTGGAACACTTTCCCAGTAGAGATGAAACAGCAAGCCTCCTTGTTGACTTTCAAGCCCTTTTAATGCCAACAGGCCTTTGCAGCTGCCACTTATTTATCATTACGATTAGCCTGCCTCTTTAATTACTAACTGTATGGTTTGAATGGTGCTTTTATGAATTATTGTTGTATACCACCCTTGGATTTTATGATAATGGCAGTATGGAAACGCTTTTATAATAAGAGGGTAAAAATATGTGTTTCTTGGTGCGTTGGTCTGGCTCTTCTTTTTTCCTCTTTTTATTATTGGTTACATTTCTTGTTGTTGATGGTTATTTTTTATATTTTAAAAAAACCATCTTTAGCCTTAAATACCTTAAACACGTTTGAAGCAGGTAATTCAGGCTGCAATTCTCAACATACCCTCAGCCTAGCTCAGGGCCCTACAAGTGCAAAAGTAGGTTTCTAAATGGACTGTGCAGGCAGTTTCCTCACTGATCCAATAGTTTGGGGTTGAATGGGCAGAGCCATTTCAAGACTGCAGTTTTGCAGTGAAGCACTGATTCAGTCCTCCACTATACCACCCAACTGCTGCTTGGCAGGATTTTAAACTGTGGACTGGAGCAACTCAATGACTTATTTTATTGTTTAAGTCCATTTCTAAACAGCTTAATTTTAGGGGGAGGACACTTAAGCAGCATACAAGAAAACTCAAATGTATAATAAATTTACAATCTGTACAATCGAAATGCCTATGCAATTTAGCTTATGAGGAGGCTGTAATTTAGCTTTCCAAACAGTTGCCTTCTGAGCAAATGTTTGTGCATTCTTAAGAGAGGGAAGCATGTTTTGTTTCCAACCTGTTTTGGCTAATGATTTTGAATCCTGTTAAGAACACAGGTGTTTTTAAATTGAGAAGAATCCCTGTGAAAAGCCAATGAGAAGTGTTATCTCATGGGATTATCAGCACAGAAATGTTTGGGGTGGGAGAGTCACATGCCGCCCATTCAATCCTGAACAGGAGCACTACACACGGCGCCATTTTGCAGGTCCCACTGCCACATGTAGGGCCTTCTCTGCCTTGCAACTCCCACTAATAATTCTCTCTAGGTACTGGACTTTATATCTATTTGATACTAAAAATCCAGTGGTGATACCAGAGGCTCCAAGTTTACTCACCCAAATTGGAAATACCCAGCCATTCTCCAGTCAGTCAAAGACTATGCATATAGCAAACTGGTTGTTTTGGGTGGGGGGGTGAGGGAATTGTCACAAAAACAAACAGCAAATTCAACTTCCATCGGAGAACTTCATTATAACAAACAATTCAGAGGTTCAATTTGTCGTTTGAATTGGGCAGCTTGCACACAGTGAGGGCATGAAAGCAAAGGTTGGATTTGCTGCCCTCTCCGCTGCATGTGGAATGTTGCATTTGGACTGGGGCATATGCCTAGATAGGCATACCTCCCACGCAACCCATTCCTTTGGGTGGCCAGTGTGCAATGCTTCTCTATGGGAGATTCTACATTGAAGAGGGGAAATCCCAAGCCTCCTTCATGCCACTGCTTTTGTAGCCAACATAGACTAAAACAAGTGTGGGGAACCTCAGGACTGGTGTCTGACTGCAGTCCTCCAGGACTCGCGTTGGCTCTGCTCTGTGCTTCCCTCCAGGCAATTTTGTCTGGGTATATACTGTCCTTGAAATCAATAATGCCTCTTACGTAAACGGATGGAAGCGTTTATATGTAGAGAAACCCTATGGCAGCCTTTCTCAACCTGTGGGTCCCCAGATGTTGTTGAACTACAACTCCCATCACCCCTAGCTAGCAAGGCCAGAGCTCAGGGCTGATGGGAGTTGTAGTCCAACAACATCTGGGGACCCACAGGTTGAGAACCGCTGCCCTATGGCTTGCTTTTTTCTCTTGCCCTGCCCATCACCAGCACGCAAAAGGTTGCCCTCAGTCTGAAAAAAGTTCTCCATCCCTGAGCAAGGGCAACTTCAAGCACAAGCATATGAGCCTATAGCTCAATCTGCCTTGTAGAGCAAGTTTGTGTTGTCCTGTGGACGATAGCCCTAAGCCTTTCCCCAGTCTCTGCTCTCCCCCATGCCTACCTCTGAAGCTCAGCTCACTATCACTAACCCCACAGTCCTCTGCAGAGCTCTCCTTTTCATGTTTGCTGCCTCCTCGATTCCTCTTAACGCTCTTGTAGAACTGGCCCCAGCGGTGACGCCCAGCATCTTTCTTCAGACGTTTCTCTTTGGCTCTTCTGTTTTGAAACCAGACCTGGAGCCGTAGAAGATAAAGGAGGGAAAAGACAAGCATTGGTGGTGGCTTGAGAGTCCATCCAAGCAGAGAACTCTAGTGTGGTTCAGTGGACAGAGAGCAGCAATTTGATCTCCTGTATCTGAATTCAAGCCCTAATTCTGCCTTAGATACGTCGATTTATTTTGTTATTTGTAGCACTTCTACCCTAAAGCCAAAGAAAAAGCTCCCAGAGTTGCATACTAAGTACAGAAAGATGGGCAGGATGAACAAAATGAAAATGGTGTAAGAGGGAGGAAGAAGCAAGCAAACTCAGACACAAGTTCTTAGTTCCATGGTCGTCTGGTGTGGTGACCAATAGGTGGAAAAGTTCAGAAGAGTTAGCTGATCTCTCCATTATGCTGCAGTCAGGTGCAATGGCTGCTGGAGGGAGAGAAGCCTAGCTTCTTGCAGCATAGCTGGAAGTGGCCGTGCATCTGTTTTCTTCCCTCTGTTACAGCCTCGATTATGTGACTTTCTCAGCTTCAATTTCTGCATTCCAAAAATAATATCTGCATTGGGATAATATTTATTTCACAAGTTTATATACAGTTGTTTTTCTTTTGTAATAAAACCTCCAGGTGGTTTGCAAAAAAAGAGTAAAAAGAAAAAATAGTTCCCCAATGTAAATTATTGCCATTATTAATGACATTGTAGCAACTCCCCCCCCCCCCCAAAAAAAAATCCCAAGGCAGATTCATATCTGGGGTTATTGTTTCTGTGTATTACTCTGTACTTTTGTGCTTTTGTGTTGTGATTCTTGAAGGGCATAAAATAAATTTAATAGATAAATAACATTCCTGCCAAACCAGACGATCCACAGTGCAGTGTGGCACAAACAGAGGCAGCTTCTAGTTTACGTGAAGAGGAGCTCTGTGACAATACAAGCCTTACACACGCTCAGTTGATACGGTTAGTATGAAAATCTTTCCCTTGGAAGATGAGTGAGAGTTAACACGGGAGCACACTCTAGGAAAGCCTTGGAGCTGCTTTTGACATCCCTAAGAGGGTTTATTGTTGTGTCAAACCATTGGAGGATTCACTGGCCTTGCAATTAATGTCACACCCAAAGCTGCCTCTGCAAATGTTTGAACTGGTGCTGCTTTCTGCGCCTTCTCTGAACGTGACCAGGTGAAAAAGAGGAGAGTGTTAGTAAAAGGTGATACTCCTCCTTCCTCAACAGATCTTTATAAAAGCCCTCAAATTCTATACATTCCTTTCATTCTGTTCCTGCATCTGAGGTCCATAGCAGCCTCCAGATATGCTTTATCAACCCCATGAAGTGCAGGATTGTGGAATTTTAACCCACAGGTAAAGGGACTTCCGCTGCCTCCTTCTTGCACACACAAATTTCTCCTGCATGAGCTCAGCTAATGCCACCTGGCAAGTAATTAATGGCAAGTAATTAATGCTGTAGATCAATCAATTACTTAGTTGAGGACAGTATCTGCATTGTGCCATTTGGCTCACCTGTACAACCCGCATGTCCAATCCAGTTTCAGAAGACAGCTGCTCCCGCACATGCCTCGCTGGTTTGGGGGAGTTTTTATAGGCATTTTTTAATGTTTCCAACTGTTTGGCTGTGATGGTGGTTCGAGGCCTCTTAGCTCCAGCTTCTGAATCGTCTGTAACAGAACAGTTTCCTTTTATTTTGGCACACAGAGCATGAAATGGAAGCTTAGGCAGAATATAGGTATATGTGTGCCGTGAGCTTTGAAAGTGGAAGCTGTCTCAGGGATGAGAACAAGGTAAAACCAGCCTGCACTGTCCTTTTAACAGTAGGTTGACGCTATTGAATGGCAATTTAGAGCCATTTGATTGCACAGCTTGCAAAAGCACACAAATAAGAGAACCCAGACCTTGTTTGTTATCATCTGTCTCATGCTTTTGATTCTATAATTAAGTAACACTTCAACTGGAAATCATGGATCTCACTGTCAGTTGGTTCTGCAAGCAGTAGCACGTGCAATTTTCTGCAGTTAAAACAAATGTATAAACAGACTCCCAAATCTGATTTAGTCTCAGATAATTGCCTATGAATTTCAAGGAGAGCAGCAACAGCCTCTATCATCAGATCAGCAATAAAAATGCTAGTGTGAGGATACTCTCTGGTTGAAGTTGCCAGGCTGAAATGGGTAAAAAGTGCCTGTTTTTATTTCTGAACTCTCACAATATAGCAGCCATTCTAACAGTAGCTTTTTTCTTTTCTTGAAGGACAGAGTGCATGTTCTGGAAGAAGCATAACTGCCAAAGCCAAAAATGCTCCACAGCATTTCCTACGTACTCTGATAACAAAACGTATTGCTATAGAAACACAAGTCTCCCCTTCCTTCATATATAGACAGTTTAGCCATCCTGTTTGGTCCACGCCTTGGAATTCCTCCTCTCTTACTTTGCAGCCCCTTGGGCTGCAAAACTTTATGACACTGTAGCCATCGATAACGCTGAGTCAATAATAGAAATTGAGCAATATTCAATCTCTGATCTCTTAGCCCTGCCCCCCAAACCAATCCCCTTAGCACAAATAGGCATTGCATCACCCTAGCTAAATTGATTAGGTCAAAATAGAGTCCTTAATTAATGAGAAGTCAGGGCTTGTCAACATGAAATCCATTAAAGACCAGTTCAGTTTTAATTTCAGTCAGGCACTGTTTGGCAGTCTCTGTGGATTCATTAGTGTTTGGTGATCTATAGCCTCTTTCTGTCTCGCTTGCCTCAACCCACCCCCAATTCTGGGTTTTTCACCTACAGTAAATATTGGCATTTTAGACCTCGGGATGAAAAATGGGAGACTCTTTGGGTTAAGGGCCAGATTAAGCTGCTGTGTAAGATACAACTCTGTTGCCTCAAGCAGAGCCGAGCCTGGGGGGGGGGTTGCTTTTGGCTCTTGAATATTCCTTCATGCAGAGCATCTTAAACAGAAAATAGATGGCATGCATCCCTCTGTTGCTCATCAATCCCCTGGGAATATAAGATTCTTTTTGGAGATACATTGGGGGGGGGAACCAAATATTTGGCCCAGTTCCGGGAGCTTGCGGGAGGAACTGAACAATTAGATGCTCAAGACCTGCCCCTGCTCCGTGCTTCCATGTACCCTGGCACAGCCATTTTGCCAAAGCTGAGGATGTGCCAAGGATGATGTTATGCAAAGAGATTCAGGCTGGGGAGGCTAACAGCAAGAGAGAAAACAATGTGCTGGAAAAGAGGTGGAAATCCTAGGGTGGCAGGACAGAGCCAGGCCGTTGTTCATGCCTAGTGAAATGGGCAGGTTCTGGCTGCCTTTTCCCAGTTCCCTGCACCTGTGTTTTTTCAGGTAATACTGTCCATTCCAGTAGGATGTGTGTTCGCTTGGTAATATGCCCATCTATTGCAACTCTTTGTGCGATAAGGAAAAAGAAGTTTTGTGTGCACAGAACTTCAGAAGGAGATTTGGTGAGGTACATTAAATCTCGAGAATATGAAGAAGACATAGTTTCAGTAGGACAGCCCTTGAAATCCAAGGGAAGCAGGTACATCACTCAAATGGGAAAGCTACAAACTGCAAAGTTCGGTTTCCAGGCTTAGCTGCCACCTGGCCATGTCCTTGCTGTCTCTTAGCACTGTTCATCCAAGGCATTCCTCCTTTCCTGAGACATAGAAATCTCCCCAAGAAACAAGGCCAGGCTTTGTGTCTGGAGTATGGAGTTTTGAGCTGGAACGCAGCAGCGCTTTGCTCCAGAACTTGTACAGCAGAAGGAGCCAGCCTGCAACGTTTGGGCAACAACATCAAGTGGCCCAAGGCAGCAGGAGGGGTGACACGATTGGAGAAGAGCAGGAGAGCCCACCGGTCATGGCACGACTCTCCATTCCCCAGCTCAGGCAAGCCACCCCACGGTACAGGGATCTGCAGATGTACACCCTAGAGTGGTACTGGCATTTGGTCTCACTTCCATTCACGGCACACTTGCAAATGAGGCTGGCCAGAACTGATGTCCCGTATGTGTATCCATGTGCCAGGATTGGATCCCAGGTTCCCAGAGGGTTCAGTTCCTGCCTTGCAAACAAATTCCAATTGTCATTTCCCATAAACAGGTTTGCTACCTTTCCTGCTCACGTGTACCGTATATTTCGCCCCATAGGGTGCACCGGCCCTTAGGGTGCACCTAGTTTTTTTGGGGGGGAATAAAGAAAAAAAATTATTTCCCCCCCAGGCACGGGGCTGGGGCGGGGGAAGCCCGAGCTTCCCCTGACCCCAGCCCCCAGAACAGGCTGCTATCCACAAGCCTAGGGAGCCCGGGGGGAAGTCGCGCCGGTCTCCCCAGGTTTGCGGATATCTGCCCAAAGCCGATGCAGACAGCTCTCCCCAAGCCTTGGGAGACAGGCGGAAACTCCCGTGGGCTCCCAAGGCTTGCAGATAGCTTCCTGAAGCCTGGAGAGGAGAGGGGTCGGTGCGCACCGACCCCTCTCGCTCTCCAGGCTTCAGTGAAAGCCTGCATTTGCCCCATAAGACGCACACACATTTCCCCTTCATTTTTGGAGGGGGAAAAGTGCGTCCTATACGGCGAACAATATGGTACTTAATGCTAACACTAGGTGGTGCCAGAGGAGAAAAGAGAAGCAAGTGCCCCCCCCCCAAATAAAATAAGGAGCTTGCCCCCCACTGCTGGACTCCTGTCGTTAACATAATTTTCTTTCATACCTTGCCAACCTAGAAATATCCTTTGCCCTTCCTGCACCTGCCCCCTTCCCTGGCCACCACTGATGTTAACCTGAAAGAAAAAGAACCAATTTTTTTCCTAATTCGCACAAGTTCTCTTGTCTGTTTGTCCAGAAGCAACTGTATCTTGCCACAGAGGAACGCCTGGCATATTTGCTGAATCCCTACCGTTCTGCTTGGCCGTCTCATAGTCTTCCTTGCACACCAGGCGTCCGTCTTCCATGAGGTAGAACTCATCACCTGTGGCCAGTTGGCGATTGCAGATGATGCAGGCAAAGCAGTGCAGGTGATAGACGAAGTCCTGGGCTTTCCTGACCACCTGCGTGGGTGGAATCCCCTGCTGGCACGCTGTACATTTTGTACCAAAACGCCTGCAGAGGAGAACAAAAAAAGACTACGCCTATAACCAGAGCAATATATATACTGTACTTGGTGCAGGAAAAAAAAGCACAGAAAGTAGCATTAGGCAAAGATTTCAGCTGAACACAATTTTTTGCTCATACGACTCTTGAGCATAGCTGTCAACTGTCCCTTATTTGGCGGGAAAGTCCCTTATCCCAGCACTGTGTCCCGCTGCTGTCCCTTATTGATGTCCCTTAAATTTCCCGGGTTTCAAAGGAAGCAGCTCCTCTCCCTCCCTCCCTGCCGGCCAGGGAGGAGGCTCCAACTGTGATGCTTGGCTGCGTTGCTCACCCAACAAGGAGTCTAAGAACAACTGGGGGGTGGAGCTTGCATGCCTTGTGCCAATCAAATTGGCCGCATTGCCTGGGGGAAACGCCTTTGCTCAGCGCTTCCCAGCGGAGAGGTGACGGTAGTTTTCCTTGCTGCATCCCCTTTGCCGGGTTGCTGCGCTGTGGGAACCACTGTTTGAGGCTTCGTTTGGCTGCTGGCTGGGCTTTCTGCTTTTGGCTCGGAGGGGCTCAGAAGTTGAACATACCTGTGTTCGAAAATCCCTTATTTTGGCTGCTGATCCCTTATTTTCGAGGCTGCTGGTCCCTTATTTTCAAATCTGTAAGTTGACAGCTATGCTCTTGAGAACTAGCCTAGAGTGTATGGGTAATGCCTGCTGAAATCTCAGAAGCCAGAGCCATTCCTATATCCACTTTTGAGAAGTGGAAGGCAGGGTTTCAGAGCCCTGTATAGGTATTTGCCCCTTCCAAGGACCAGCAAAACTAGAATAAATTAGGTTAAAAAAAGCAATGTAGATTGCCACAATGCATGCAGCTTTTCTTGGTCGTACAGAATATTACCTGGGCACCAATTTTTATTTTAAGGGTGGGATGTACACAGCTCTGCCTGCGGCAGAAAACCAGGATGGAGTGAGTCACTGTTCTGAGCAAGGGAGGCCAAGAGATCTTCTGAAGAAGAGAAGTACTCAAAATGAAGAGAAAGGGATGTGGATGAAGGGGCAGAGTTTAAAGCAGCAATCGACCCAATTATGCATGACATTTCACACAGCAGGGCTTAATCTTCTTCACTGGAGAGAGACTGGCCTAATGGATCGCAGGAAGGGTTGGTCTTAATGGTCCTTTTAACTAAAGCCTATGTGGGCCGTGCAGTTGCCCCCGCGAGGACAGTACATATTTCATCCACATTAAGTCTAAATTAATTATGGCTAAATAAATAAATTATAGCTGGGATGATGAATACAGAATTAATTTAGAATGATGGGGTCTCGCATGCGCCAATAATACTGAGCACAGCACACCTGCTGTGTAGGGGAAAGGGAGGAAGGAAACACATCCTGGGTGAGATATTGTCCCCCTGCATGTGAGTGGGGCCCTAATGGTCTATACGGCAGTGTTAAAAGCTGTGCTATGAATCAGTTCCCAAGACAGATAACAGTCTTGGGAGGGAGTGCAGCCACAGCATGCCAGCATGACAATGTGAACATAATCAGCAGAGTCCCAATCCTGTGCAGTAGATGTTTATGCCCTTGGAATTCAAGGATGCCATCTGTGAATTGTGGGGTCTCTTCCCACAAAGTTGCAAGAAAGTTGAGGCTGCACAAACTGCTCTAGCAAGTAACAGCAACACATTCGGTGCATTGAAATGTTTACCACCAGCCGATTTGTACTCCAACCGGCAAGCAGGGGCGTCTTACCCATAGAGGCTAGTGGCGCTGGGCGCCAGGGTGCCAAGTTCTGGAGGGCACCAGGGAGGAGGCAGAGGCTGGATGCAGCGCCTCCCATCATCAGCTCGCCACCCTCGCCCGCCTCCGCCATGCTGCCTGCGCCAAAGCAGCACGGCGCCCGGAGCCTCCGTCTGCCATGGCCACCATGGCACGAAGTGGCCAGCTGAGCCAGGAAGTGCCACGTCCAGCCTCTGCCTCTTCCCCACCAGAGGAGCCGCCCTCCAGCCGCTGCCCGCCTCCTCCAGCCCCGTCGGCAGCACTGTCCTCCCTAAAAAACTCTGGGAAGCAGGGGAGGGGTGCCGGAGGGAGCTTTGAGAGCCAGTGTGGTGCAGTGGTTAAGAGCGGTAGACTAGTAATCTGGTGAACCGGGTTTGCTTCCCCGCTCCTCCACATGCAGCTGCTGGGTGACCTTGGGCTAGTCACACTTCTTTGAAGTCTCTCAGCCTCACTCACCTCACAGGGTGTTTGTTGTGGGGGAGGAAGGGAAAGGAGAATGTTAGCCGCTTGGAGACTCCTTAGGGTAGTGATAAAACGGGATATCAAATCCAAACTCTTCTTCTTCTTTGCACCACGGCTCCAGATATGCTTCAGATGGCCCTGCCAGCAGGTGACTGCAAAAAGGCTCCCACAGCTCCTTTTGGGTTTTGCTTATTGGGTTTCTGCTCCTTTTGGTTATTTTCAGATGTATACTTAAAACATCTAAGGTCTACACCCGCAGAAAACATAATGTGCAGTTCAACCCTTAAAGTGCCCTTCTCTGTTAGAGCATCCCGAGAAATGCAGGTGTTCCCGTCTGCCTGATTTGTAGCTTGCATTCAGTTTCTAGTGTCCTCTGCATCTCAGAGAGAAAGAGACTGTGTTCCTATATTCTGGGACAGCATATACCCATAAAGTCACATTAAGGCAACATTAAGGAGCCACATTTATTTTAAGTGCCGGAAAAGCAGAGTCATAGCATCACAGTTCAGCCATGCAGCCACTTGATTTTATGGCCTACCTTCCCAAACCTAAACTGCAGCTAATCAATCTGCAAATGCAGGAAAGAGCATAAAAGCCACTTGCAGAAATTCACCTCTCGGTTTTTCTAAGCGTCGACACGTGAGTTCTGGTTAGTAGCAAAAAACATTCACTCGCTATCTTTTGCAATTTGTGCACACCTGCAGGCTACTGTCCTACAACAATAACAACATAAAGATGGGAGAGTAGAGGTAAATAAATCTCCAGGCCTTCTCCATGATAACCACCTTTTTGGCTGAAAATAATATTGTATTGTTTTGCAGCATGAATGGATTCCTCGCAATACAATGAAAAACAATTGACCTGGGGTGTTTAGAGCAGCCCTCATTCATTGACATTTGGGCTCTCTTTGTATTCATACTACTTCTCCTTCTGACCTTGCTGCCCTCTATTCCCATCTTTGCCTTTTCTTTAAACAGCTTCCACCACCGGCCTTACAGTCAGCATGCTGGTCTTGATTTTATAACTGGAAACAGGACATCGGTTCCTTCCACCCCAGTTGTACACCCAATCCTTAGAACCGGGGGCTTTGCAAGGGAGGGGTACTGGGATCAATTGCCCCAGGGTTTTCTGCATGGAGGGGCCTCATACACGAGAGAGCATCGTCAGCATTGGCACTGCTGCATTTTGCCAACTTTTGTAAGCTGCAGACAGCAGGGGCCGGGACACTTATGCGTTGTCCCAAAAAGGAAAATGCATCCCCCAAAATAAAGAAGGAACAGCATGGAGGGAGAATAAAGAAGACAGGGGATCTTTCTGGTTGATCAGCTGAAATGCTTGTGCAATTGGAATGACTGGAAAAGCGCAACCCATTTGAATTCCACCCATTGTATTTCTTCTTTTAATCGGGGACCTTTGTTGGTTCTAACAAATCAGGAATGCAGAAGCAGGTATACAGCATGGAATGGCGGTGGAAGAGAACTGTTGTTGCATGCCACCCCAATCTCTGAGCGGTGCGAGATTCCAGGGGTTCCAGGTGTGCTCACCCAGGGTGTGACTGCGGTGTCTTTATGATATATGGTTCATTTACACATATATACAGTGGCACACATATATTGAGTGCTCACTGGAAGGACAGATCGTGAAGCTGAGGCTCCAATACTTTGGCCACCTCATGAGAAGAGAAGACCTCTGGAAAAGACCCTGATGTTGGGAAAGATTGAGGGCACAAGGAGAAGGGGACGACAGAGGATGAGATGGTTGGACAGTGTTCTTGAAGCTACCAGCATGCGTTTGACCAAACTGCGGGAGGCAGTGGAAGACTGGAGTGCCTGGTGTGCTCTGGTCCATGGGGTCACGAAGAGTCGGACACGACTAAACAACAACAGTGGTACCTCTGGTTACGAATGCTTCTGGTTACAAACGCTTCAGGTTATGAGCTCCGCTAACCCAGAAGTAGCTGCTCCTGGCTGCGATCTTTGCCCCAGGAGGCGAACGGAAATTTCACACCGGAGGCGTGTGTGCAGCAGGAGGCCTCGTTAGTGAAAGCACACCTCAGGATAAGAACGGTTTCAGCTTAAGAATGGACCTCCGGAACAAATTAAGTTCGTAATTAGAGGTACCACTGTACAACCTAACCCCATGATGGAGGGGTTCACAGCATTAACACTCCGAGAGGGTTTTGCTTTTCCCTTAGGCACAGCTCTGGATCCAGACAAACATCAGACATCGTGCTCTGCCCCTCTCTCCTGCTTGCTCTAAAAATATCTACTACAAACTCTGCCTTTGCCTTCTAACTCTGAGTCCTCTCTCTTTGGCTTTCTTCATGGCTCATCACCTTCGTTTTGTCCTCTAAATGGCTCACCTCAAAAGGAAACTGCCTGCCTTATTTAACTTTTAACATCTGCTGGGTCCAGGGATCAAGAGTCTGGTACCCACAAACTCATAACAATATTAACAGAGTGCTTCATAACTAACATAATGTACAAAGCCATCCTAGGGTGGATCATCCATAAGCCCACTGCTCCTGAGTATTGCCTACCGTGTGTGTGTGTGTGTGTGTGTGTGTGTGTGTGTGTGTGTATAGTTTTTTAACATATCATTTTCAACAATTATTAAACATACTTTTATATAGTATACAATTTTTTTGACTTCCATCAATCACATAGAGAGCCAGTGTGGTATAAGAGTGGTGGGCTCGTAATCTGGTGAACCGGGTTCGCTTCCCCGCTCCTCCACATGCAGCTGCTGGGTGACCTTGGGCCAGTCACACTTCTCTGAAGTCTCTCAGCCCCACTCACCTCACAGGGTGTTTGTTGTGGGGGAGGAAGGGAGAGGAGAATGTTAGCCGCTTTGAGACTCCTTTGGGTAGTGATAAAGCGGGATATCAAATCCAAACTCAAACTCATCTGAAAGTTTTCCAATCTTTTCACTTGAGTATTGCCTACCTTGTGGGCATAAGGGGCAGTAGTGCCATCTTGCTGGTATCAATAGGGCCTATCTGCCCCAACAGAAGTGACAGCTTGGCTCATGGAGGCCAAAGCTCCACCCTGTATATTCAACAGCTTTCAGTTCCATGGAAGCCACTTCCAGGTCGGTTGGGTCACAAGGGCCATTTCTCAGGGGCCAACAAGCCCTTGTTTTCTCAAACTGTGAACAACCCCCTTCCATCCAAGATGGTGCCAGGATACTCCTCTGGCCCTCTACTCCCCCAGCTGCCAGGACAGGAGGATCCGTTCTAACTTGACACTGCCAGAAGAGGGAAGGCAACATTGACCATTGAGTCAAAATAATCATCCAAAAGTTCACTTTGAAAAATCTGTCGCAAACAAGATGGTCCTTTGGAGAACCAGCCGCACTGGTTCCTCTTGTCCTGTGACAGGGAATTTTGAAGATTTCAGCATGAAAATTGTCAATGAGTGGCAGTGTCAATGAGAAGGTGGCAGTTTAAATAGGAGGCAAACTCTTTGTTTTTACCAAATATTTGAAATACATTTCATGGCAGCAATCTGGGCATAAAGTCCTTCAAAGATTTGACTGTGTCAACAAAATCCTAACAGATGAAAGAGGAACAGCATGGAAACACAAATCAGTTTTCCCAGGTGATGGCAAACTAACTGGCAGAGATGGTTCGAACATACTACAATCTCTCAGGTGGAACTGAACAAGAGCTCCTGGGTTTCCCCAGAAATTGTGGGTTTAATTCAATTCCTGACAAGACTTTATCACTCTTCCCAAAATAATGCTACACTCGAAAAGGAATGCAGTAGCTTTAGTGAGAGCTTACCTAAAAGATCTTCAAATCTCTGTTCCCTGATCTGAAATATTTCATTTTCTTCTTGGATACTGCGGAAGGATGTAATGGACCTGGGATTTTTGCATAAAGTCGTTTCAAGATCACTTAGAGTAAGAACCTGGTAGAGGTGTTTCCAAAATGTATCATAGCTGATGATAATCTTTAACTAACTCTGCCTATTTCAAACGGTGAAGGAGAAAGAGAATTCTCTAAATCATATCTTATGAAAAGTAAATTATGGTAAGCAATGCAGCAGTCAAGGCTGTGATCGTTATCTGTTCTCCTTACAGAATAAAATCTTAGAGAGAAATGTCTCCTGATAATCTCATTGCTAATTTTGCTGCTCAGAAGAATAAGTTATCCAAGGCCGGATTCAACTAACCTTGTGTGCTGGCAGAAGCCAGTGCAAGGACTCCCAGTAGCACACTGAGCCTCTCCTCCCCCCTCTATGCCCAATGCCTCCCCCAAAATCTGCTTGGAAGAGTCAAGAGATCCCCCAAAACAGCAAGGGGGGGAGGAGACAGGAGATTGTTCTGCCTGGCAAACAAAAATGTTTACACTGATGGGCAATTGTAATAGTGCCCGATGTTGAGCACCACCCAAATTTCCTACAGTAATGTAACATCTACAGTAATCTGAATGTGGTTTGTCATTGTGTATAAATATATTCCTTAGATTTGTTTGTGTTTGTTTATGGATCCCAGATGCAGAAGGACTCAAGGCATGTTTGCAAGCGAACTTTATAAAATTGTCTTCAAATTCTAGAGGCATATCTTAACACACTCTTTCTGACATCAAATCAATATGCTTTTTAATGGATTGCATGCACATTTGCTCTCTTTGGGGGTTTTCGCAGCTAGAGGCGGGGAGGAGAATGGCGTTAGCACATGGCAGAGGTTTTCAACCAGTGTGCCATGGCACCCTGGGGTGCCTTCAGTGATGTTCAGGGGTGCCACGGGCAACACTGGCCTCTGTCCTTCTTTCCTTTCCTCCCTCCTCTGATGCCCTCTTGCGTCTCTGCCTCCCAAAGGCTTGCACAGCTGTTTGTTGCAGCAGCCCTGGCCACAAGCTCCCCAGGCCCCTGTGGGGCAATGTGAGGGGGAACCTCTTTTGGGGGTGGAGGGGCAGCTCAGAGACCGGGGGGGGCAAGCAACAGCTGCCCGGAGGACTCCCAAGGAGAAGGGAGAGGAGGCTGAGGGAACACCCAAGAAGAAGAAGAAGAAGAAGAAGAAGAAGAAGAAGAAGTTTGGATTTGATATCCCGCTTTATCACTACCAGAAGGAGTCTCAAAGCGGCTAACATTCTCCTTTCCCTTCCTGCCCCACCACAAACACCCTGTGAGGTGAGTGAGGCTGAGAGACTTCAGAGAAGCGTGACTAGCTCAAGGTCACCCAGCAGCTTCATGTGGAGGAGTGGGGAAGCGAACCCAGTTCACCAGATTACGAGTCCACTGCTCTTAACTACTACACCACACTGGCTCTCTACAAAGGAGGATGTTCAAGAAAGGGTGAGAGGCTGCCAGCTCTGCAGGCAAGGGGTGACATAACTGGGCCTCTGAGCCCCACAGGGGCCACAGAAAGAATATAGTTGGTCAAGGGAGCCTTGGACTCAGAAAGGTTGAAAACCTCTGGCACATGGTGTAGTGAATGGGGAACCCCTCAAAAATTCTGTCCCTGCTCCTCTCAGAGTTATACGCCCTGCTCAGAACACGGGATTAAATGCAGTCCTCCCTACATGGTGGCCAGTCTCCTGCCAGAACCTTCCAAGCACCATGATTACACTTTAATACATCTTTTTGCCTCTATCCACGTTGCATGAAAAATGTTCCGCTCTCGTAAAAAACATGTTCTTTAATGGCACCTGTCAGAGTCTGGAAATGTGGCTAAGTAAACACGCAATTTGTTACCGAAGGCAGCAACAGCAATTGCTGGACATCAGATCAATCAGTTTTTAAAAGGCAAATTAATAAAAGGATACGTGGCGGCATAAACACATTAACATGGGGAATTCATTCAATTCCTCCCCCAGTTGGATGTCTCTGTGAGTAATAGAAGAGCAGCCAGGTTCTACCTAAAGAGAATTGCTAGCTTCAGCGCTAATATTGCTGCATTTGGCAGGCATGGGGTTTGCAGGGATACGGCAGGACTGTGATGTCAGTCAAAGGGCCTCTTCGCACATTAAATGTTTGGTGTACAACCTAAAACGTTTCAAGTGAGCGTTTAAACAAGTACATTGTGGATGCAAAGCAAGCCCTTCGGTTATTTAAAGTCTGAGTCAAGTAACCCACTTTTTGAGGCTAACCAGTTTTAAGACAGCATACATTTTCAAGAATTGCAGTCCAACATTCCTCCTCAAATCCCTGCACTGACTTTTCACCAGCCCCCCCAGCCCCAGTTGATGGGTAAAGTTAAAGGGACCCCTGATCATTAGGTCCAGTCGCGGACGACTCTGGGGTTGTGGTGCTCATCTCGCTTTATTGGCCGAGGGAGCCGGCATACAGCTTCCGGGTCATGTGGCCAGCATGACTAAGCTGCTTCTGGCAAACCAGAGCAGCGCACGGAAACGCCGTTTACCTTCCCGCAGGAGCAGTACCTATTTATCTACTTGCACTTTGACATGCTTTCGAACTGCTAGGTTGGCAGGAGCAGGGACTGAGCAACAGGAGCTCACCCCATCGCAGGGATTTGAACCGCCGACCTTCTGATCAGCAAGCCCTAGGCTCTGTGGTTTAACCCACAGCGCCACTCATGTCCCTCGCGGTACTGTCATTCAAATGGTGTGCAATGCTGTGTCATGTGAACAATTATGTGAGGCAGGGATTACCTCCCCCCCCCCAATATTTTATTCATATTGGCACCCCTGATTCTGACGAAACATCAGGAAGAAGCTTCGGACAGTAAGAGCTGTTCGACACTGGAACAAATGAGATGATCCTCAGGCTCCCTTCCAGTTCTATGAAATGTCCTCCACCCCATGACATTATTAGCATTTATGTATTATCCGGAGAAGCATCAATGCTTGAAACATATCTGGCTTGCAGTAGTGCCCAGCAGTTGGATCTGATTTTTGGAGTCTCAACCTACCCAAAGTCCAAAAGATGACTAAATAAAACTGAAAGCAACAGTCTTGACGTGAAGACTTGGCGCTCACCAACCTGCTCTGTAAAGAACTTCAGGAAGAGTCTTGGCAGTGCTGGTAAGAGCTCCAGTTAGTGCACTGAAAGTACATTCTGTTCCAGAGGCCGGGGGTGTCAGACAAGCAACTTCCAAAAGCTGCGTGCAACTTAACAGTTTGAAGCACCGGAAGGAATTCATTCCATGGCAACCACTTCAGTTGCCCCACGGGGGACGGAGAAGCCACAGGGCTTTTTGGACCAGTGTGAAAAGGCTATTGGCGTTGTGGAAAGAATGGGGAGGCACAATTTTTAAATGCTTTTCAGAGTTGCTGAAATGGCTAAAGGCAGCCCTAACACAACCACTGTTTCATTTTGATAGCAAAAGCTTTTGAACATGGTTTGGAGGGCCTTTGTTTTGTTTGTTTTTCTCTGGCATTGTGGTGTTGCTCACGCTGTTTTTACATTTACCGGTATATCTCGCCTTTCCTCCAAGGTGGTACAAAAGGTTCTTCCTCTCCCCATTTTACCCTCACAACCACCCTGTGAGGTAGGCTAGGCTGACAAGCACGAGGGGGGGGGAGATATGTTCTCCTGAAGAGAAAACGACCATGGAGTTAAGAATAAAATGCTCAAAAGGGAGGCCACTGATGAAGACTAAAAGTTGAAATGTATCTGACCATTCCAATTTTAATTAGACTGTATCTTATAAATAGGGTGCAGGAATGCTTTATAAACATGTGTTTGTAGAATTTATTTTATTTTATGGAATATTAAATATCAATTTCTATGACTGTAATTCTCCAGCATTTTATTTGCAACGGAGGCAAAACCTTTTTGGGGTGGAGAACCCCTACCTGAGATTATATAGTCATGTTAGGCTATAAAGGTAAAGGTAAAGGAACCCCTGACCATTAGATCCAGTCGTGACCGACTCTGGGGTTGCGGCGCTCATCTCGCTTTATTGGCTGAGGGAGCCGGCGTACAGCTTCCGGGTCATGTGGCCAGTATGACTAAGCCGCTGAGCAGCCGAACCAGAGCAGCGCACAGAAATGCCATTTACCTTCCTGCCGGAGCGGTACCTATTTATCTACTTGCACTTTGACGTGCTTTTGAACTGCTAGGTGGGCAGGAGCAGGGACCGAGCAACAGGAGCTCACCCCGTCACGGGGATTCGAACCGCCGACCTTCTGATCAGCAAGCCCTAGGCTCTGTGGTTTAACATGTGGCATCCCATGTTAGGCTATATAATGGCCCAATTATCTACCTCTGTGCAATGGCAGCTTTATATTTGTAAATGCCGGCAATAAATAACAATACAACTACCATTCACCCACCACACCTTAATATTTAAGATATTGGCCTTATCATGCATGACACCAAATGCAGTGTGGTTTTTCTTGATATCAAAAGCATCATCTCTGTTCAACAGCAAGGAGGAAGGACACAACCCAGATGTTTGCCTCCCTCCTGCTGCCCTAGCTGAAATCCATGCTTTAGGACCGTGGCTCCACGCTTTACCTCTTCATCTTGCATCTAAATCTCTCAAGCGTCTTCTGTGATTCATCCCATCCATATGACTCATGGCTGAAGGTGACAGCAGCCTGACTGGAAGAAGAGGGAGCCAGGAAGTGCCCTTAGCCTTCCCCAACCTGATGCTTTCCAGATGTTTTAGACTACAACCCCTGTGATGTCTGGGCTGATGGGAGTTGCTTATTGTCTTCAGAAAACAAACAGCAAAATAAAGTAAAATAAGCAACTATGGGTGCCATAAACAAATAGGAATTTAACAGGACTAGGCAAGATTCACTATTTCCTTGTGAATGCCTTCGTATGATTTCATTTGATTCCAGGATCTTACAAAAGATCAAGGGTATCCTTTATCACGTGGGTCTATTGTTGTTATTATTATTATATTATTATTATTATTAATTCTAAGATATCACCCCTGCTTTCCCCTTCCAATGGAGATGTCAACCAGATAGAATAAGCAAAAAAATCAAAGTAAAAATAACAACAGTCCAATTATTTAAAATATCTAAGTAAATAACAGGTGGGTTACCATGCTAAAAACAGCATTAAAAGAACCCAGGAAGTTGAAACTCACAGATAGTAAAACAGCAAAAGGATCTAAGGATGGTTGAGAAACAAGACTCAGAAAACATTTCTCTTCAACTATGGCTTTTTAAATGTGTTGTGGGGGGCACTGGTTTGTTTTTGTTTTACTATATATTTTGCATTTTCCCATTGTGAATGGACTTGGGATCTTCAGATGAAGGGTGGTATATATTACTACTACTACTACTAATAATAATAATAATAATCTGAGCTCTTGGGCAGTATGCTATACAATGGGTCATGTTCCCAGCAACTGTACCTGAGAAGAGAGTGGCACATTCCCTCTCCTCACCCCCCTTCCATTGTCCTTCTCCAGTTTGCCCCCCCCCCCCGCTTCACTTCTCCTCCCCATTTTATGGTACCTTGCTTTCCTTTCTTTTCTGAACCCCTTTCGGAGACCTGCTCAAGTATCATGTTGTGTGCATCCTGACACCTAGTTCTGCAAGACAGCACCTTCCATAAGCCATGGTGCAAAGGCGAGAGAGAGGTCCATCCGCAGAATGACCAGAGGAGGTGTGTTGGGGGGGTGAGGAAACGCTGTGTGAGAGAGGTGAGCACTCCCCACAACATCCACTGTACCCCCTCTCCATCCAAAGACAAAGACGCCTTTCAGCCAGTAAAAAACACTCAAGAAAGGCAAAAAGCAGGACAGGTAAGGGGGCAGCCTGAGCCCCAGCAGAGAGGCCTGGAAGGTTGCATTCGGTCCTTGCTGTCAGGAGCTTGTCCTACACTCGAGTAGGACCCCGGCAGACACACATGCCCGACTGGCATGTTCTCTCCCTCCGGGTCAATCGTTCGGGAGCTTCAAAAGCTTTCTTCAGCCCGAACATCACAGCAACCAATGCCAACAGACGTCAGCACACTTAGGGATCCGCAGAGTTTGCGCAGTTTGTGTAACAGACCTCAGCATCTCTGCATTTTGGCTAATCTACTTTATTTACATATAAACACACACGGAGCACTGCAACATGGCTCCCTCTCTCTCTAGCATCAGACAGCAAAGAGAAAAGAACAAAGGACAATAGTCCCACTTCATGGAACACAGTAACACAAACATCCTGTCTCCGTCACACCCCACTCTGTGGAGTCAAAACATATACCGTCATGTGAAAGACAACAATCCCATGACTGCAATCATGGAGCTGGAATTCTAACACCTGCTCCTGATATTCCCTATCAATGCCCTAACCCGGCACCTTTAACAAGCTTCGGTGCCCGGGGGACACATAATTTTCTGGTTTGCCTCGGGCAGCAAAATGTCTTGGGCTGACCGGAAGCAACATCTTTCCAGAGAGTGTCTTCCCCCCTCCGAAGCGTAGTGAAGTTAATTCCTTGCTTTTCTCTTGATACAGAAAAATAGGGGTGGTTGGCTTTTGCTGCCCAACTCCCCAAGGGACTGAGTCCCCTAAGTCCATGATCGGTCAGAGATGAATGGATGGAATCAGGAGGCAGTGAAAGCAAGGCAGATCTTTGTTTTTCTGTTGTGATGGAGTTCCCTCCCCTCCTAGCAAGGAGGCAAAAGAGACCCAGAACCAAGATGAAAACCTCTCTTTTAAGGGTTTTCATTTTGGCATGGAGAAGAAGGACATCCCCTCTACAAACAGTCAGAAATTACCTCAAACATAAGGTGGGGTTACTGTGATTCAGGCAGGCCGGGGTGTGATGTTCCTGAGGATTTACCAAGTTTCACTTAGTTCAAGACACAGTTTACACAAAATATTAGCATTTGATAGGAAATCAGGGTGCCTGTCAGACATCCCTCAATGCAGAGCATCTGGGCAAACGATGACAATTAATACAAAGGAGGTTCATAGATATATAGGAGAAGAATCCCTTCAGGAACTTCGCCTGACTGCTATCTGCCTGTGTGTTCTCAGGAAAGGGGGATTAAGGAGGCAGAGGAAATATTTAGAAGAACCAAGATGGCTTTTGGGTTGCTCTCCTGTACTATTTTAGACATGTGGGTTGTATACTTATGTATGTGCGTTTACCTTGTGCAGTTATCTTAGAATTCCTCTAAACAGTTCCAAGATCCTGATATGAATCTACCATCTACGCCGGTGATATCTGAAAGGACAAATGCACTCAAGGACAAAGTGCATGATTAATATCAGGTGTAGTTTGGCCCTAAGAGGTCGTTGGGTTTGAGTTCCAGGCTTCTTGCAGGAATGAGTAAGAAGGGATCAGCAGCTGGATGAGCAAGAAGCTTGCAAATGGGCTCTGTGACACAGGCTTTCGGCTTTCAGCTTTCCTCTCAGCTGTTACAGCAGGGGTGAAAGGATCTGTCCATTCCAAAAACAAAAGTGGTTTAGAAAGCCTGAATGAATTTTTAAAAAATCTTCAGGCAACTTTGTGGGGGACGAGGAAACAAAGAAAGCGCTAGGTGAGCCTCTCACAGGAGGGTTTTCCTTTGCCAAGATGCCACAGTGAAAAAGGCCCTCTCCTTGATAGTCTCACTGCACTTTGAGGGTGCACAAGGAGAAGCTCCCCAAAAAGGAGATTATGGTTTATGCAAGAGGTCAGATACCCTGATCCCAAGCCATTTATGGGGTTTAAAAATTAAAACCAGTTGCACCTGCTCATTGAAAAAAAAGTTGAATGAATCCAGGTAATTGTGATAGGGTGGCCGTGCACCTCCCCACCCCACAATGTACGGTAGCAGCACAGACAGGAATTTCTATGTTAGGTGAGCGCAGAAGTTCCCTGCCCAGACAATGATGTCGGTTACTCTTGTATTTTCTTACCAAGGTGTCCTGAACATTCCAGAGGATGCAGAAGCTCACAGGGCTATTCTGGAGACTTCTAAAAACCTCTTAAATAGGTTGCCAACTTGAAACATCTAATGAGTCTCCCTATATAGAAAGCACTAACTTTTAAAAATTGTTATTATCTGTATTTTTAATAGATTTTTAAAATATTGTTTTAATTCTATTGGTGTTTTTAAAGGTAAAGGGACTCCTGACCATTAGGTCCAGTTGTGACCAACTCTGGGGTTGCGGCGCTCATCTCGCTTTATGGGCCAAGGGAGCCGGCATACAGCTTCCGGGTCATGTGGCCAGCATGACTAAGCTGCTTCTGGCGAACCAGAGCAGCGCACGGAAACGCTGTTTAACTTCCCACCGGAGCGGTACCTATTTATCTACTTGCACTTTGACGTGCTTTTGAACTGCTAGATTGACAGGAGCCGGGACTGAGCAACGGGAGCTCACCTCGTGGCGGGGATTCGAACCGCTGACCTTTTGATCGGCAAGTCCTAGGCTCTGTGGTTTAACCCACAGCGCCACCCGCGTCCCTTCATTAATGTTTTTAATGACCTTCTAATGACTATCTTTTCTACATTTTTAGCTTTTTCTATTTTTGTCCCACTCTAGTCTCTAGACTGAGAGAAATACAAGATTCTTCTTCTTCTTCCTATTATGTGCTCCCAATTCACTTCTATACTGATAGGCACCTGACCAATTGAGTTTGCTATTAAGGGCTCATCTACACTTCCACTTGTGCTGTGCCTGGAAACTACAGGTCCAAGCAGTTTTCTGTTTCCCTGGGAAAACTCCCTCTTTACCGCTGAATCTCCAATTCAGAGGTCCGGAGGGTGTCAACATGAAAACGGGCCTTTTCTGCGTTGGCTCCCTGGAGTCCAAGACAGAAGAATGTCAAGAGAATACAAACTCATTTGCAAGGAAGATCCTCAGACCAGAGACTCGGCTGCCTTCTATCTTTCCTGCAAATTCCGCATGGACTCTGCATTTCATGTCTATGCCTTCAAGGGTGTTCTTCCATGGGGGGGGGGGGCAGAATATTACAGTAGAATTGGCTCCAAGGCTTATCCTGCTGAGTGATGCCCACACGAGAGCCGTTACTTCCTTTAAAACCTGCTTATGTAATGCCATTAAAGAGGTTTTAACTAAAAGCAAAAACACTCATTTCTGCAGGGCAGATCAAGCAGACATTTCCCCACTCCAGAGAGATCCAAACAACTGGCGAAATGAGGGGGGATATTAACTGTTGGATTAAAAAGCTCATTAATGCCAACAAAGGAGCACCGGAGGGAGGTCCGCAGAGCAAAATATTATCTTACGACATGCCGCTGGGAGCTTTGAAAGCTGCACAGGTTTTGCACAGCCAGCCAGCCAAACATTATGTGGTTTTTGAGTGTCCAGAGAATGAGATATGAATGCAAACAAGCAGGTGTGCCAACATGAATAAAATAGGGGGGGAGTAAGCCCTGCCCTAAGGGACGCGGGTGGCGCTGTGGGTTAAACCACAGAGCCTAGGACTTGCCGATCAGAAGGTCAGCGGTTCGAATCCCCCCGACGGGGTGAGCTCCCTTTCCTCGGTCCCTGCTCCTGCCAACCTAGCAGTTCAAAAGCACATCAAAGTGCAAGTAGATGAATAGTTACCGCTCCGGCGGGAAGATAAACAGCATTTCCGTGCACTGCTCTGGTTCGCCAGAAGCGGCTTAGTCCTGCTGGCCACATGACCCGGAAGCTGTATGCCGGCTCCCTAGGCCAGTAAAGCGAGATGAGCGCCGCAACCCCAGAGTCGTCCGTGACTGGACCTAATGGTCAGGGGTCCCTTTACCTTTACCTTTTAAGCCCTGCCATGCATAATCACAAGATGTGGTGCATGCACACCCTCAACTTGTGGGGAGGCCCTCAAATATTTATTGGGTGTGCTGAAACAACCTTGGCCCCTAGGAGTTGGCTCCTATGCTAATAGGGGATTCTTCATTTTTGCCATCCTTGCGAGTCACCCTAAATCAAGCCTGAAAAGGGCCAGTTTTCAAGTTATTTGGTGAAATGGCTATTTCTAAGCAATCACTTGTTTTCAGCTCCCAGAATTCTTTGATGGGGTGTGTGTGCGCCCTTCAAATGTATATATTGTGTACACAACATAGGTTCTACTCAGAGTAGGCCCGCTAAAATTAGTAAGACCTATTTGAATCATGTTCATTAATTTAAATGGGTTTACTACGAGTAAAATTTAGCTGAACGCTACCCATAATCTCTAAAGACGGTTTACAAAATAAAAAAATAGATGCAGCAAACACCATCACCAGGGAACCATTAGCTGTCCTCTTCCTGTTGCTCTAATCCCTTGCATAAACAAAACCCCCCACTCTCTACATTATGGCTTCAAATGATCCATGTTAATTGAGCATCTGGCCTATTACATGTTCCTCAGCTGCTAATGGCAAAAAAAAGATACGGCAGGGAGAAGCATCAGGTTTCATCCCAAGAGCCGCAAACAAACCCACAATCAAAATGGGAAGACTACAACAACAGTCACACCTCACATTTGAAGCTCCTTATGATGCCACTAGGAATGTGGGTGGTGCTGTGGGTTAAACCACAGAGCCTAGGACTTGCGGATTAGAAGGTTAGCTGTTCAAATCCCCGCGACGGGGTGAGCTCCCGTTGCTCGGCCCCTGCTCCTGCCAACTTAGCAGTTCGAAAGCACGTCAAAGTGCAAGTAGATAAATAGGTACCGCTCTGGCGGAAAGGTAAACGGCGTTTCCGTGCGCTGCTCTGGTTCACCCAATGCAGCTTAGTCATGCTGGCCACATGACCCGGAAGCTGTACGCCGGCTCCCTCAGCCAATAAAGCGAGATGAGCGCCGTAACCCCAGAGTCGGTCACGACTGGACCTAATGGTCAGGGGTCCCTTTACCTTTTATTATACCACTTGGCCATGGTTTTCCCCAAAGAATTCTGGGAGCTGTAGTTTGTTAAGGGTGCAGAGAGTTTGCTAGGAAACCCTATCCCCCCCCCCAAAGAACTACCGTCCCTCGAGTTTGCCTGTGAAGAGATTAATTGTTAAAACAACTTTGGGAATTGTAGTTCTGTGAGCGGAGCAGGGCTTTCCTAACATCTTTCTGCAAAGGAATCTGTGCCATTAGTCTGCCATATGTCAGCTTCAGTCTAAAGCAGGGGTAGGCAACCTAAGGCCCAGTTGCCTTCTCAATCTGGCCCATGGACGGTCCGGGAACCAGCGTGTTTTTACATGAGTAGAATGTGTCCTTTTATTTAAAATGCATCTCTGGGTTATTTGTGGGGCATAGGAATTCATTCTTTCCTCCCAAAAAAATATATAGTCCAGCCCACCACATGGTCTGAGGGACGGTGGACCAGCCCACAGCTGAAAAAGGTTGCTGAGCCCTGATCTAAAGACTATTTCACAAGACAAGCCTGGGTTTGGTACCAGATATACCGTATTTTTCCATGTATAAGATGCCCCCATGTATAAGACACCTCATATTTTGGGGGACTCCAAATTAAGAAGACACCCCTCAGCACTACCCGTGTATAAGACGAGCCCCAATTTTAAACCTAATTTTTTGGTTTAAAAACCTAGTCTTATACATGGAAAAACATGGTACACTTAAAGAAGGAGCTGTAGCCTACCACTGGTCCCTGACAAAGGTAGCATGATATGCATGCCAGGAAACACGCTTAAATTGTTAAGCGTGCACTTAAACAATTTAGGAGCACCTCTTAAATAATGCAGTGTGTTTAATGCCCCCCACCAAGGTTTTTAAAAATAAGCTCACCCGACACTAGCTATGCTGTATTTAATATTGGCATGCTAAAACTTTCTGCTGGTTCCCAGGCACATCTCACTGCTTCAGTCTGCCGTACAACAAATGTGTTTGGGAAAGATCAGGAGGGCAATCAAGAATGGGCATTTTTGTGGGGGGCTTCCTGCCCTCTGGCACAGAACAGATGTGCTTGATGTGGGCAAGAGAGATTAAAATCAGACAAAGCAATAGTCCAATTTGGGCTTAAAAACGCAGTGGGGGGGGAAGGGTGTATTAGAGGGATTTGGGTCTCTAAGAAGGTTAAATTCCCACAAATAGCATTCACCCTGTGAGAGCTCTAGAGCAGGACAAAATTCCCTTTATTACATGCTTGGAGATTCTACTCCATTTAAAAAATGATCCAGTATTTTCCCACACATCACCTGCTTGTCTTATACAGAGTCTCTTTCCCATGATATCTACCTTTCCCCCACCCCGTTCCATTTCCCCCAAATCTGAATTTCCTCCCCTCTACTAGCACATAGCATAAGGACATATCTGTGGCACATTATCGCAGTCAAACCAACAATTCATGCTTTGCCAGACAGACACACGAAGGGGCTGAGGTTCACAGAGCTTTCCTGTAAAATTTGCTAGAGAGAACTCTGTGAGATCACTTCCTTTGCCTGCCTCAGCAGGAAACTGTAACACGACATCCTTCCTGCCCTGACAGCCTCCTCCTTTTTCATCGCACTTCCAAGATGACCTCATGAGCATATCTGTGCTCTGCAGCTCAGACACCATTTTTTATTTTTGTACTAAAAAGCAATGACAAACCTAGACGGCATCTTAAAAAGCAGAGATATCACCTTGCCGACAAAGGTCCATATAGTTAAAGCTATGGTTTTCCCAGTAGTGATGTATGAAAGTGAGAGCTGGACCATAAAGAAGGCTGATCGCCAAAGAATGGATGCTTTTGAATTATGGTGCTGGAGGAGACTCTTGAGAGTCCCATGGACTGCAAGAAGATCAAACCTATCCATTCTGAAGGAAATCAGCCCTGAGTGCTCACTGGAAGGACAGATCCTGAAGCTGAGGCTCCAATACTTTGGCCACCTCATGAGAAGAGAAGACTCCTGGAAAAGACCCTGATGTTGGGAAAGATGGAGGGCACAAGGAGAAGGGGATGACAGAGGATGAGATGGTGGGACAGTGTTCTCAAAGCTACCAGCATGAGTTTGACCAAACTGCAGGAGGCAGTGGAAGACAGGAGTGCCTGGCGTGCTCTGGTCCATAGGGTCACGAAGAGTCGGACACGACTGAACAAAAACAACAAAGCAACTGCAGCATCCTGGTGAATTCTGGTGAATTCTGGATGGATCAGCTATACAGACACACACACATCCAGGCATCCCCTCCCCCAGCTGTCCTGGGATTTCCCTTCACCCAAATGCACACGGGTTAAGGGGTTTTGTGAAGGTCCCAGCATTTTTGTGGCAATTGGAGACTATGGAATTGGGGTGCTGATTCCATAGTCCCGGCCTGCATGATTAGGACTCACTCACATAGCTGAGTCATTTACAGATAAGTTGCTCCCACAAGGCTGGGAAAGTGAATAAAAGGCAACTTAGAGATGCAATATTAGAAGCCAAAGGGCTTGCAGAGTTGGCAGTACATGAGCTGGGGTTTAAAAGAGGGAGACAGAGAGAGGGGGAAAGTGATACGTTTTTAATTAGAGTAACTTCAGTTGGTGAAGGAATCCAGACTTTAGATCTACCTACACACATTTCATTTTTAATTTGTACACCGCTTTTCTATGTTATTAAAAACAAGGTGATTTACAAGCTGAAGAAACAACAAAATGGGCAGCAAAGACCACATACCCAATAACAATCTGATCCAATACACAAAAAGTCATAATAAAAACATAACTTTAAAATAAACAACTTGCATCAAACAAAGCCATACAAAAATCTGTAATAATAATAATAATAATAATAATAATAATAATAATAATAATAAATTACTTATACCCTGCCCATCTAGCTGGGTAAAGAGTAAAATTAAAAATCAGCAAATAATAATTAAACAGTTTTCACTTAACAATTGCAATAAAGAATTACTAAACTATAATCAATAAAAAGAATGGCAAGTCACATGCATAAAACCATGTAAAAGGATCAAATTGAGAAAAAGGTGGGAAAAGCCATTGCCTGTTGGACAGGACAAAGACTCTCCCCTCACTTGAACTGGTGATAATTAATTCTAAGCTATAGCAAGGTTATTTATTAATGATGACTGGTAGTAATTATCCAAACCCCAAACTCAGCTGTTTTAATGCTCAGCCCCAGAGGCTCTGGTGTCCCCTTGGGGTTCATGAGATTACAGTGAAACTAATATAGAAAACAGTTGGAAAAATTGATCTTTTTCAAAGGTTTCCACCACATGCCAAAGAGCAGGCCACTTTTCAGTTAAAATGTAAAATTAAAAACAACTTGCCTCTTCCGCATGCAAGTAGCTGTAAACATCAAAGAACCTCCTGGCTGTGTGTGCATATATCTTTGGGGGACAAATATAGAAGCTGAGTTTTAGTCTGGAAGCCTTTCAAGCCTCTCATAGGTTGGCCATATCAGTAAGAATAAATCTCTGGTGGGCCTCAAGCAAGAAGAAAACCAGGATATGTATCCTTAGCACAACAAAATTTAAGAACTACTGTACTGACATTAAATGTGAAGTCAGATGTTTTTAAGAGTAGCAGAGGCAGCTTCACAATGCACCACAGTAATTCAATGCATCTTTTTCTCTGGAATAGGTGCTAGGGGAAAAAACCCAGTTCTGCAGTTTTTCGGTGTCTTTTAGTTTAATAGGACAATCCCAGCTGTGGGGGCCACCTACTGGCTAGCACCAATGCCATCGACAACACAATTCCCAGAGGAGGTATGGTATAGTTCTCTTTTAAATGACTGCATTAAAAACAAAAACAAACCTTCAATTTTGTTTTCTTTCAGGTAAATCAACGAATACGAGCTGCTTATATATAAAAACAGAAGAGGTGCCATAGTTCAGTCTCTCGGATCTCCAAATAAAAGACCTTGGACAGCAAGACTCAGAAGGACCCCTCTGCCCAATTGTCAGCCAATATGAGGGTAGATAGTCCACCTGCTTAAATAAGTGCAAGCCCTTCCATATGGAAGTTTTTAACCTCAATCCTTCCTGGAAGCCATGTTAGATGTGTTTGAAGAATTAAACATTTCATGATTAAGCAATTTTCTGTTTCTTAAACAACAGAATATGCATGCATCTCCTTACACATAACTGAGAATTACCGTATTTTTTGCTCTATAAGACTCACTTTTTCCCTCTTAAAAAGTAAGGGGAAATGTGTGTGTGTCTTACGGAGCGAATGCAAGCTGCACAGCTATCCCAGAAGCCAGAACAGCAAGAGGGATCACTGCTGTGCAGTGATCCCTCTTGCTGTTCTGGCTTCTGGGATTCAGAATATTTTTTTCTTGTTTTCCTCCTCCAAAAACTAGGTGCGTCTTATGGTCTGGTGCGTCTTATAGGGTGAAAAATACGGTACCTGTTTCCCTCCTTTTCCCAATGTAGTTCAAAAGTCCGCATGCTCTTTTGCCCACAGAAATGGGTCCAGTGCAATGTGCATTGCCATGACTGTTTTGTGTCCTCCCCACACCCTGCCCCCTGCCGTCAGTCCCCACAGCAGGCAGACAGGGCACCAGCTGTCTACCAAACTAACTGGGTCACTGAGGCTACAATCCTGTGCATGCTTACTCAGAATAAAGTCCATCTGTTTTAAATGAGGCTTACTCTCAGGTAGCTTTGCACAGGGCTGGAGCCTGAGATACTGTACCTGGAACTGATCCCAGAGGCGCCATGCCCTCGTTCCATCAGTCCAATCCATGCCATGCCTAGGTTCCCCACTCCCACAACTGAAGCAAAGCAGCTGCAAGGAGCAGAGCAGGTTTTGATTCGGAGAAATATTAAAGTTAAAAGGGATTTATTTCTAATGCAAAACAGCTTGGAGGGATTGTTATATGCTGGAGGGTGTCTTAGGTTAAGCCACTGCGTGACTCTGTTCAGGAAAGGCGTTCGTGTTACCCCTTTGCCACTCCTTTAACTACTGAAGCACTACTACTTAGTGACTAGGACCCTCGTACCTACGGGACCGCCTCTCCCGGTATGCCCCACGGAGAGCCTCAAGGTCCATAAACAGCAACACCCTAGTGGTCCCGGGCCCTAAGGAAGTTAGATTAGCTTCAACCAGAGCCAGGGCCTTTTCAACACTGGCTCCGGCCTGGTGGAACGCTCTGTCTCATGAGACCAGGCCCCTGCAGGATCTGATTTCTTTCTGCAGGGCCTGTAAGACAGAGTTGTTCCACCTGGCCTTTGGCTCAGAATCAGTTTGATTCCCTACCCCCTCTTTTTTTTTTTCCCTTTCTCCTGTGATGAGGTTGCATTTTAATATTTCAATGTTTCAATATTTTAATGTTGTATCTTAATCTTGTTTTTAAGTTGTATTCATTCAACTTGTTTTTATTATTGCTTGTTAGCTGCCCTGAGCCCGGCCTTGGCTGGGGAGGGCGGGGTATAAATAAAAATTATTATTATTATTATTATTATTATTACTTCTGAGTTCCCTTCCTGATGTTACTGTGCAGTGGCTGAATTTGCAAAGAGGTCTATCACCGGCCAGCCAAAGTGATGAGCAGCATGACGCTCAAGCAGGCCTTAATGAACACCTGTCCTCAACCCAAAAAAAAAGACTTCACACCCAGGTAGATGGCCTAGAAGTGTATAATTTTCTTGCTGTATGCTTGTGAAACATGGGACCACTTATAAACGCCATCTCCAACTCCTCAAAAGATTCCATCAAAAGTGTCTCCAAAAAAAATTATACATCACTTGTGAAGATAGGCAAACTAATGCCAGTGTACTGGAAAAAGCAAAGATCACCAGTGTTGAAATGATGATTCTTCAACATCAACTTTGTTGGACTGGTCATGTTGTGCGGATACCTGATTATCATCTTCCAAAGCAACTACTCTACAGTGGACCCTCGGATTATGTTACCTTCGGGTTGCGAACGCAGCAAACCCGGAAGTGTATATTTCTGGGTTTCGCCGTGCATGTGCGCAGAAGTGGCGCCTCTAGATGTGGACTTTTCGGGATATGTACAGACCCCCGGAACGAATTAAGTTCGTATCTGGAGGGTCCACTGTATTCTGAACTTAACATGGAAAGCATAATGCTGGTGGTCAGCAAAAGAGGTTTAAAGACTCTCTCAAGGCAAATCTAAAAAATAGTAGTATAAACACTGACAACTGGGAAACACTGGCCTGCAAGCGCTCCAGTTGGAGAGCAGCCTTTACCAAAAGTGTCGTGCACTTTGAAGACGCTCAAACTCAGGACAAAAGGGAGAAATGTGCTAAGAGGAAGGCATGCTTGGCAAATCCACACCGTGATCAACTCCTGCCCGGAAACCAATGTCCCCACTGTGGAAGGATGTATGGATCTAGAATTGGCCTCCACAGTCACTTACAGACTCACTGTTATGACCGTGTTCCTGGAAGACAATCTTACTTGGCTATGAGTGGTCGCCAAAGAAGAAGAATAGTACAATTTTCTGTCCCCTCGACCACTAAGTGGCTGAGATGAGCTTGCCAGCCCAACCAACTAGCAGCAGAAGACAAGACAATTCTGTAGCTCCTCCAGAATCATTCTTCGCTATAACCGGGGTGGAATCTATAGGCACTGTAGCTCCCTCTTGGCTGGGCCCAGAATAGTTATTATCTGCCTTCTCATCAACCCTAGGACGAGTTATTGGAATGGAAACAGAAGCTGCTGAAGGGATTGAGGGAGAAAACACAACAACTTGAGGAAGCCATGTGTAATGGTTCTAGGGGTTGCTTGTGCATAAGCCGGTGCAAAGACCTGGCTGGATTGCCTGAGTGAACCTTTTCTGTCCGGACAGCCACTCACCCGTGGCTGTCTCAATCGCTGGCAGAATCTGTCAGTGGGCGTTTCTTCCACCTCCTCCTCAGGACCCCCCACCCCACCCCTGGCACGATTTTCCGGTACAACCTCCTCTCTCTCCTCGGTCGACGATGTGGGGAATCCCCTGAAGGAGCTGTCATCATCTTCTGAGGATTCAAAACCAGCCTCCCATCCACTCGGACTTCTCCCCGCTGGTTGAACCTCCCAGTCTGATCCTTCTCCCTCGGACACCTCCCCTCCCTCCTCTTCGGAGGCAGGGAAACCCACAAAGTCCCCTTCGTCGTCTGTGGGTCCAAATTCTTCCTCCCAGAATCTAGCTAATGGTTTGGGCTTCTCCAGGAACAAACCGTGGAATTCTTCCACCAGATACTTGTCAGTGACTGATTCAGCCGGGACCCAAGTGTTTTCAGACCTAGGTTCCCCCTCCCAGGCTACCAAGTACTCTACCTGGCGACCTCGCCACCTTGAATCGAGTATTTCCGTGGCTTCGTTACAGTGTTCCCTCTCCTCTACCCGCGGGTGGGTGGTAACCCCTCCCTCCCGTCCCGGGAATTCCCGCCCCTCCCTGTAAGGTGAAAGTAGAGACCTATGGAACACCGGATGTATCTTCATGCTGTCAGGCAACTTGAGTTTAAATGCCACAGGGTTAACCTGCTGTATTACCTCAAACGGCCCCAGCCGCCTAGGCTGCAACTTCTTGCACCCTCCCTTTAGGGGTAACCCTTGGGACAACAACCACACCCTGTCCCCCACCCGTATGGCCTCCCCCTCCCCACGGTGCCTGCCTGCCTGCCTCTTGTAGACTTCCTTGGCCCGCTCCAAGTTCAGCCTGAGTTGCTGGTGTAAGGCCTCCATTTCCTCCACAAATTGCTCAGCCGCAGGTACACTCCATCCTTCCGTCCCCCGCCCCGGGAAGGCCCTAGGGTGACACCCGTAATTGGCCATGAAAGGGCTCATTCCCGTGGACACGTGTTCAGCGTTATTGGACGCAAATTCAGCCAAAGCTAATTTCTCTACCCAATCGTTCTGCCTCTCGCTGACATAGCAGCGTAGGTACTGCTGGAGTATGCCGTTCGCTCTTTCGGCTTGTCCGTTGGTTTCTGGATGCCTCGCCGTTGAGAAGCTCACCTCGACCTGTAGCAAGCTCATGAGTCTCCGCCAGAACCGGGAAGTAAATTGTTTCCCGCGATCTGAGATTACCCTCAATGGAACCCCATGCAGTCTAAAAATGTGATCCACAAACAGCCTGGCTGTCTCCTCTGCCGTTGCTGCACGTGAGCAAGCTACGAAATGGCACATTTTAGTCAGTAGATCGACCACTACCATGACCACTGTCTTTCCCCTTGACTTGGGCAGATCTGTCATAAAATCAATGGACACCACCTCCCAGGGCCTTTCCGGTGTAGGTAAGGGTTCCAGTAGCCCCGGGGGCAGCCCTTTCCCCCTTTGCCCTCTGGCATCGGTCGCACCCTCGTACATATTCTCTTACATCTTCCCTCACCTTTGGCCACCAGAACTGCCTGGTGACAAGTAGCATGGTCTTGTGCTGTCCAAAGTGCCCAGCTGTTGGGTTGTCATGGAGTTGTCTAAGTACCTTCCCCCTCAAAGTCTCCCCTGGTACATACAGCGCCCCCTTATAGTACAGTAGTCCTTCCTTTTCCTCAAACCCTCCATTGACTTCCTTTCCGTCCCTGAGTTCCCTGATTTTTGTTTGAGCAAACTCATCGTCTCTGGTGAGCCCTGCCAGCTCTCGTTTCCCAACCAACGCTCCCCCACACACCCACTGGTCCTCGGGGAACACGTGCCTGGTCTCTGGTGGCCCCTCTCCTTCCATGTACTCCGGCTTCCGGGAGAGAGCATCTGCCCTTATGTTTTCCTCTCCTGGCATGTATCGGATCTCAAAGAAAAACTTGGCGAACTCCTGAGACCATCTGATCTGTCTCTGGTTGAGCACTCGCGCAGTCCGCCAGTATTCCAAGTTCTTGTGGTCAGTTTGGACCTGGATCTTGTGCCGCGCCCCTATCAATAGATGTCTCCATTGCCGAAATGCCGTATAGATCGCAAGCAGTTCTTGGTCATACACCGTGTAGTTTTGCTCCGACTTGCTCAGCTTCCTAGAGAAAAAGGCACACGGCATCCAGTTCTGCTTGGCCCCGGGCTGCAAAAGGACCGCTCCGATCGCACAGTCGGACACGTCCGTCTCCAGTCTCATG